TGCGCGCCCGGGATTCTCTGGCTTTTCCCAGCCGTCCGCAGGACGTTCTTCTCAGGGTCCACGGCTTGAATCTGCAAGTCGGGGAGCGCCTGGCTTTTTTGAGCAGTCAGCCTGTCTGCCCGTATTGCGGTGATCCGGAGACGCTGGAACACTGTCTGGTACTCTGCCCAAGAATACACGTGGTTTCCATCGCCCTCCGGCGCGCTCTGCGCATGCTCAACCCCGCTCGAGTGACGGACTCGCTAGGTGACCTTCTGTTCCGAGGCACGGTAACCGGTTCAGCTTTCCCGGAAATGACGCTAACTTCAATTGCATTGCACCAATTGTGGGTCGAGCGGTGCGACACTGTATTCCGGAAGCAGAAATTCCGCACGCAACGTGTCCTACGGAGGAATGAAGTAGAGAAGATAGACGCTTGAAACGGGTTGCAGCAGGAGCAACGATTCCAGCTCATCTTGCAACGACCATCCGCGCACACTTTTCCCTGCGTCTGACGCGGCGGGGCCTTTCAGCTGACGGCGGATGGCGGAGTGGACGGCGGGGTGGACGGCTCGCAACCAGTTGGCGGTGTGCTGTGCGGTAACGGTTACCGCGGGGTGTGCAACGGCGGGCAGTGTGAGCTCGAGTAGGCCCCTGCCGAGGTCGCTCGTGGCCGCAGCGCTGCTGCTGTTGTCGCCATTCGTGCTGTTGTCTCCTCCTTCCACACAATCGCTTGTCCCCCACTCCGTACCCCCTTCCACCCCTTCCATACCCGAGTGCCATTCCCTACACCCTTGGCCCCCTTCCAAACCCCCCTCCACCTCACCTTCCGCTCCCCCTTCCATATCCCCCCCCTGTCCCCTTCCATCCACTCATTTATCATGCCACTCCCCCCGTCTTCCTCTCCCAGTTCTCCAGCCATCATCCCGCCATTGCCTTCGTTCGTCTCCCGGCTTTCCCCCGCCGCGCTTTCCGCAACTTCCGCGCCCACAGAGCAGCCAGTGAATGCGCACTTGTATCCTGGAGAGTGCGCGCCAGTGGGTTCCTCGGAAAACGGCGCATGATATGACGGGGGTCTTTTCTCCGTATGTAGCGGTGCGGGCACTGAGAGGAAATCTGCGACAATCATAGTGCTGATCACGGCGAAAATCAAAGCGGCGAGAAGTAGGAGCACCCGGAAGGCGATAGCGGGGAGTTTGAGCCACGAGACGAGCAACATGGGGACGGGGATGCTGCAGGCGAAGAGGAGGGGAAGTGCAAACAGAACTCCAAAAATATAAAATGGGAGGCTGATGTGAGGGTCGGAGAGAGAGGAGGTGAAGGCGTAGGAGCCTGGGCCGACGAGAACGATGAGCGGCACGACGAGGACGAATCGCCATTCCGCGTCGCGCACGGGGCGCTCGTGGAAATTGAAAATGGCGGACGACTCGTCGAGCTTGTTCCAGCCGCCACTTGTCAAAGGACTACTGGATGCGCGTTCCGCGGGCCGCGTGAGTTTGACGACAGCGGGAGGGGAGCACGAGCCTTCCGTCTCGGAGGGCGTTCTAGTTAGGGGAATCTCTTCACTCATTTTGCTGGACAATTAATCGATTACGGGTGTTGAGAATGGCTGCGCCACCGAGATTGGTATTGGAAACCAGGCAACTTTGGAGATGCTACTATATACGCAAGATTGAGGGGTGGGGTTGATTTGATAGGGGTTGTCTTGCCTCGTGTTATAAACCAGTGGAAGTGGTAGTAGCGACACAATCGCAGTGGCAGATGAGGGATGTGGCGATTCGTGTTATAGCGACAGAAGGCTGGGGAAAGGGAGGAATGGACGCGAAAGGAAAGGGAGAGACAGATGGGCGAAGCCAGGAGCGATGCTGGAATGGCAGAGCGGGCGTGGCAAGGGTCGAACATGGAGGGCCAGAGACACTGGTAAGCGAATGTGACGAATATCCAAAACTGACGGGGATGGATTCGCCCAGCTGGATGATAAGGATGGATGGGTCTCGTCGGCTTTTGTAATGGCTGGGCACCTCGATAATGTCGATGCGATGCTGGAATGGATTTGCGCATAAAACAATGTTTCTTTGACTGCCAAAAGATGCCTGTATTACCGTAGGTTGCATTAGTCCTTACAAACATCCCCAATCAGCTATGCTACCTGTTTTCTACTTCCAGAATACTGGAGCTGCATCATTCATGGGCTGATGGCACATTCCATCCTTCTTGATGATTTCGAACTTGAGTTTCTTTATTGTAAATAACCTAGTGTCAAAGTTGAGTTTATTTATTGTAATCTATTACCATACCGTAATACCCCGGATATAAGCGCACCTGCGCTTATAATAAAACAGTGTTTTTTGGGGGGGTGCGCTTATAATTGAGTCAGATTTATAAGCGCATGCGCTTATATAATAACAAATGCAAATTTATAATTCATTGGCACCAAACTGTACATCTCCTTCTTGTGATTTCAATCGAATCGAAGTGGTAGCGAGTCGCAATTCAGATTCGCGCGTGAGCGATTTTCTGCCGGCGCACAGGGGAAAATTTACACGTCACTATCAGAAATGCCAGCTCATACTGACTGGACGCGCAGTATGTGAGGTCCTCGAAAGTCAATCGAAGCGAAAATAGTTGTATCCTCACTGCAAAATTTGAAATCGCTACCGTTTTAATTGTTGGAAATAAGATGTCGCTAGAGCGCAGCAGAAGCTCTAGGAATTATCGACGTCCCTACGGCGGGGCTATTGGTCACTCAGAGGTAGCTCTCCTGGCTTGTAACATGGTGCCAAAGCAGCGGCCGAGGGTAGGCCGGACACAAGCTTGAGAATTGTGTAATATGAGTAAGGCATTACATTCTGTTATATAGCAAACGCATAGGGCAGACAGTTACCAAGGCGCAACTGTATAACAGTTGCGCTGCGTCGCTTGGGTTGCCTTGTTACAGTCGCACTGGCGAGACTTTTCAGCTTCGGCAAGGGCGCGGTATCCTGCCGCGCCCCACAGGTCAGTTTCGCGTACTGTAGACGATGACTCCTGCTGTCGATTCGACTCTTGAGCTGCCACGCGGGTCGCAACCGCTGTGCTCGGTTGCGGCCCGTTGACTCGCCATCAGGTTCAAATCCCTCGCTATGGCGAGCCCTTGTAAGCACACTTCGAACAGTGAACTTATAATAAAAGCATACAAACATATTCTCAACACTCCCCTCCACTGTTAGAAGTGTAGAAACGAGGAGAGCTGCAATCTTGCCGGGTTGAAGTTGTGAAGTCCTTGCCAGGGACTTTGCTGTAACTCCTTGAAACTCGTCTTGCTGAGTCGCCCAAAATGATGCGACGGTGCGTTGAAGATTTCCTCCACGTAGTGCTCCATGGGAAGTGGCAGGTCGAACCTGCTCCAGAAGATGCTCCTGGTGATGATTCAGGTGGTGGGCCCATTTGTAGAAATTATCACAGGTTCCAAGGATTGGAACTCTTGCTCGTGATACCATGTTGGAAATAAGAAGTCGCTAGAGCGCAGCGGAAGCTCTAGGAATTATCGACGTCCCTACGGCGGGGCTATTGGTCACTCAGAGGTAGCTCTCCTGGCTTGTAACATGGTGCCAAAGCAGCGGCCGAGGGTAGGCCGGACACAAGCTTGAGAATTGTGTGATATGAGCAAGGCATTACATTCTGTTATATAGCAAACGCATAGGGCAAACAGTTACCAAGGCGCAACTGTATAACAGTTGCGCTGCGTCGCTTGGGTTGCCTTGTTACAGTCGCACTGGCGAGACTTTTCAGCTTCGGCAAGGGCGCGGTATCCTGCCGCGCCCCACAGGTCAGTTTCGCGTACTGTAGACGATGACTCCTGCTGTCGATTCGACTCTTGAGCTGCCACGCGGGTCGCAACCGCTGTGCTCGGTTGCGGCCCGTTGACTCGCCATCAGGTTCAAATCCCTCGCTATGGCGAGCCCTTGTAAGCACACTTCGAACAGTGCACTTATAATAAAAGCATACAAACATATTCTCAACACTCCCCTCCACTGTTAGAAGTGTAGAAACGAGGAGAGCTGCAATCTTGCCGGGTTGAAGTTGTGAAGTCCTTGCCAGGGACTTTGCTGTAACTCCTTGAAATTCGTCTTGCTGAGTCGCCCAAAATGATGCGACGGTGCGTTGAAGATTTCCTCCACGTAGTGCTCCATGGGAAGTGGCAGGTCGAACCTGCTCCAGAAGATGCTCCTGGTGATGATTCAGGTGGTGGGCCCATTTGTAGAAATTATCACAGGTTCCAAGGATTGGAACTCTTGCTCGTGATACCATGTTGGAAATAAGAAGTCGCTAGAGCGCAGCGGAAGCTCTAGGAATTATCGACGTCCCTACGGCGGAGCTATTGGTCACTCAGAGGTAGCTCTCCTGGCTTGTAACATGGTGCCAAAGCAGCGGCCGAGGGTAGGCCGGACACAAGCTTGAGAATTGTGTGATATGAGCAAGGCATTACATTCTGTTATATAGCAAACGCATAGGGCAAACAGTTACCAAGGCGCAACTGTATAACAGTTGCGCTGCGTCGCTTGGGTTGCCTTGTTACAGTCGCACTGGCGAGACTTTTCAGCTTCGGCAAGGGCGCGGTATCCTGCCGCGCCCCACAGGTCAGTTTCGCGTACTGTAGACGATGACTCCTGCTGTCGATTCGACTCTTGAGCTGCCACGCGGGTCGCAACCGCTGTGCTCGGTTGCGACCCGTTGACGGCCATCAGGTTCAAATCCCTCGCTATGGCGAGCCATTGTAAGCACACTTCGAACAGTGCACTTATAATAAAAGCATACAAACATATTCTCAACATTAATCTGGTTTAAATTTTAGAATTATACGTGCGCTTATAATAAATCAAGGTTTTACAGGGGGTGCGCTTATAAATGAGGATCGGCCATAAGCGCATTGCTCCAGATACAAGCGCATGCGCTTATAATAGGCCTGCGCTTATATCCGGGGCCATACGGTATAAGCACACAACACAACCAATCTTATCGGTTGGGGAATTTACACCCTTCTACACCGGACAAGTATCCTTGACATCTGCAAAGGATATACCAGATTCATCACCAACCAAGCCAGCACCATCAGAGCCCTCCTCTGGCTCAAGCTTCTTGTCCCAGGCAAAACACAGCACTGAAGTGGCAACCCCTGTTGTGAGGACGGAGGCGAGTGCTACAACGGATAGAAGAGAAACCACAAAAACAATTAATAATGCTTCCATGAGGACAGCTAGACCCCCTAGCTGCATAGGACTATTTCCCAGTGGAAACAACGCCCCTTGAACAAAGACCTGCATATGGATAGAGGCGATAAGGAATCCATGTCAGAATAACACGCCTGTTGCAAATGTTCTTTATACGAGGAGAGTCAACATGCAGGATGGCCTGTGGAGAATCGTGCACAAACACAGAAGAAGCATGTAGGGACAGAACATACTCACCCCAATTAGCCCGACGATGTTGTAAATGATGACAATGGGAACCACCAGCATGGTAAGCAGGGCCAGTCCAGCAGCATTGGCCGTGACAATGGGCGCGAGGAAGCGCTGCAGGATGTCGAGAGAGAGGCGCAGAGAGCGGGTGAAGCCATGGCCGCTCATGGCAGCGGTGGGGAGGACGAGGCAGCTGAGGAAGAACCGGATGACAATCTGTGTGCAGTGAAGCAGAGCCACCAGCAGGCAGCCCAGGATGCTCTCGTCGAAGAGAGCGAGGAAGAGGGAGGAGAGGAGGAGTTTGGCAGCGGTGGCGGCACAGGAGGTGATGGCAACGGCACAGCAGGTGCCCAGGGATGAGGTGCAAGCCAGGGAGAAGGCTGAGGAGAAGAGCTCTAGCTGGCCTCTCAGTGTTACGCCCTCTTCACCTTCACCCACCTTCCTGCCCTCGCTGCTACTTCTGCTGCTGCCGCCGCTGGTCGTGACGTACAGCCGGGCGAAAACAGCTGCTGTGGAGTAGGTGAGGAGAGCTGAGAGCACTTGGACAACGAAGAGAGAGGTGGGTAGCAGGAGGACGAAGAGGATGTCACTAGTATCACCCTCAAGGCTATACATCAAAGGGAGGCCCAGGAACAAAGCTGCAAGCATGATGGGGAGTGGCATGAAGAAGATGACTTGGGCCTGGACGATGGCCGTATGAGCAGCGTGCGCAACGGCAGAGGCAGCGAGAGGGAGGTGGTGGTTGCAGCGTAGCACGAGGAGCATGGCGACGACGCTGAGCAGCCCCAAGACGACGAATGCGATGAAGTAGAGAGGACGGGTTATGAGATCTGCGTAATACAGCGCCACGTCTCGCCGATTTTCGCCTTGCAAGGACCGCCCACGCGCTCTCTTCCTCGCGTCTGACGCGTGGCTTTGGAGATGCTGGTGGGCGGCGGAGTGGGCGGCGCGCGCCCAGTGGGCGACGTGCTGTGCGGTAACGGTTACCACGGGGTGTGCGACAGCGGGCAGTGTGAGCTCCAGGAGGCCCCTGCCGAGGTCGCTCGTGGCCGCAGCGCTGCTGCTGCTGCTGCTGCTGCCGCTAGGAGCTGCCGCTGCCGTTGCCGCTGCCGCTGCCGCTACCTCGGCTGCCGCATCATCAGCGATGCTCACCGCCGCTTCAGATGGGTCCTCCTGCACATCTACGTAATCCCCCATCGCCCCCTCCGTTCCCCCTTACGAACCCCCTTCCGTACCCCCTTCCGTTCTCCCTTCCGTTCCCCCTTCTGAGGCTTCAATAGCCGCTTCTATCATTTCGTCTGTAGTCTTCTCGCTCTCCCCCTCCGCGCTTTCCGCAACGTCCGTGTTCACGGAAAAGTCACTCGACGAGCCATCGCGGACTGGCGCGTATACCACCGGGGCTACGTCCGCCGCATTTGGCGGCACGAGCGCGGGCGTCGTGTAGTAATGCACGGCGGAGGTGGCGCTTTGCAGGGCACAGATCACGGCGGCGAAAATTAAGAGCGCGCTCAAGACGCGAGCGGGGATTTTGCGGAGAGAAGAGATGATCAACATGGGGAGGGGAAGGCTGAACGCGAAGAGGAGAATCAAGGCAACCGGGTAGAGGGAGGGAGAAATCAGGAGGGGGCCTGAGGATTCGTAAAGCGAGTAGACGAAAGCGTGGAGGGCCGCAACGAAAAGGACGACGAGCGGCACGGCGAAGACGAACATCCATTCCGCGTCGCGCACGGGGCGCTCGTTGAAATTGAAAATGGCGGAAGATTTGTCAAAATCGTTCCAGCCGCCAGCCGTCGAATCGTCGAAGCTCTGATGAGGAATTTTCGCCGCAGATTTTCGAGCTTCAGCCTTCTTTTCCTGCGGTTTGGACTTCAGCGGAGGGGAATCGACGGCGTGCGACAGGAGGTGCTCGGATACTGTGATCTTGATATCGCCGTCTTGCGCCCATTGCTCCGCGTGCTGGTGTTTTTCCGCGTGCTCGGCGGGCGGAGCGTGTTCGAAGAGAGAGGGGGGGGAGTACGCGCCTTCGGTCTCGGAAGTCGTACTCGTCAATGGTATATTCTCACCCATTCCTGGTCTGTATCTCAATGGCTGACAATGCGAGCACCAATGAGGCTAGTTGTAGTGAGGTCTAATGCAGCTATAGCGATTCAAATAAGCGACTGTTAGTGACCGCGAGGTGGAGTTGAGTAGTGGGGGCTACGATGGCTCGTGTTATGGAACTACTGCGAGTGAGAGTAGCAGGGGACTAGCAGTAGTTTATAACATGCGCAAGGGTAGTGTGGGAAGCGAGGGAGGGAAGAGAAGGCGTGGGAAGGAGAGAGAACAGGTGGGTGCAAGGAAACGGGCGGAGAGAAAGGCGGGGTTGGGTGCGGTGGGCGTGGTTAGGTCGAACCAGAGGTGGTTGGTGGGCGAATTTTGCGATTTTCCAAAGCTGACGGGGATGCATTTCGCCAAGCTGGCTAGCAACGTGGATCTCCCTCGCCTCTCTACTGGCTGGGAGCTTGGCATGACTGCGCTGATGCTCTCTGGACAAAGTACTTGTACACCCAGTATGGAGCTGACGACGACCTGATTCACGTGAACACGCAACAACGAGGGTTTAATGACTCCTGTTGACCTGGAAGAACGGCATAAATCAAGCAGCTCCAATTCTTATCCAAAGAAATCATACAGTACAGTAAACAAGTTATAGCTGTTAGCCTTTTAAACCTTGTGGCTCATTAATTAACCCCATAATTCACGTGAGCTGTATTATAGGCCTTCATAAGTAATAAAAATCTCCCTGATTATGAGCATACCATCAACCACGATCCTCACGGTGGAAACACACAATTTTCTTAACGTGCATACCAAATGCAAATGAAAAAAATCACAGCCTCAGTGATAGATGGTTCATTTTGCAGCCTCAACTAAATGCAGCTTCAGCTGCCTCTCAATAAATCCCACAATCTGAATTCTATTGCAGTACCGTATGGCCCCGGATATAGGCGCCGGCCTATTACAGGCGCCGGCGCTTCTATCTGGAGCATGGCGCTTATGGCCGATCCTCGATTATAAGCGCCCCCCATGGAAAACCATTACTTATTATAAGCGCCGTGTGCAATTTTCATTTAAATATCAGCTTAAATCGGTAACGAATTTCAGTTTTGCAGCGAGTCAAATTTCATTTTCGCTTTGTTTGACTCGCGAAGACCTGACTGTCTGCGCGTCCAGTCAGGATGTGCTGGCATGCCTGCAAAGTGACGCGAATTTGCCCGTGTACAGGAAGCAGAATCGCTTGCGCGCGATTCTGCTTTGTGACGCTATAATAGTTCGACTCGTTTGAAATGGCTACAACGAAAGGTACAGTTTGGTACCTTTAAAGATAAAAATTGTATTTGTCATTATATAAGCGCCGGCGCTTATGGCCGTTCCTCAATTACAAGCGCCACCCTTGAAAAAAATTAACTTATTATAAGCGCATATGCGCTTTTATCCGGGGCCATACGGTAATCCATGTCTTGTAACATGCTGGAAGCAGCTCGATTCATTTTCTCGCGGGGGCTCCCTTGGTTATTGTTGACTTCTTTCTGCCAGCTTGCTTTCACTCCTGACCGTGTTTATTGCTGGTGCGTATCCCACTATTTTAATTTCTGAGAACCTCCGTGAATTGGCAAATATCTGTGCCTATCTTGCACTCGTTGGCGTGGGTGCTCACAATGAAGCCACGGCTGCAGCATTTTCTTGCCAGGTCTAATGGAATCAGTATCGATTAACCCACCTGGGAACGGGCAGCGAATAGTTTGGATGGCAGAACCACAGCAGTTCCTACGAAGCATCTCGACACAAACCCTGCATTACACAACCGTCGATGTTCCGTAAAAGAATTGCAGCCGTTCCTTGCGACTGCTCGCCAGCTCACCGCTGATTAGTGGCGATTTGCTGAGAGGATTCGCTGACTTCCCATCACATTCCCCATCACGTGCTACACCGTCACGAAATCGCATCACAGCGGCAGCAGAGCGGACATGCTCCGCCAGTGGCATGTCTCTAGGGAACAGAACGAAACCCTTGTATCTCCGCAACGACAAACCCAGCAAGCATCCAGCCAACCCCTCACCGAATTTCCTGATTTTCTCGAAACCCCTTCGGCCACCTTCAGCCACCTCATCCTGCCAGCGCCAGCTACCTGTGCCCGTGTGTGGGCCTCTGTGGCACTACGCTAACCTGTCTACCTCTGCGGCTGTGACTGACTGAGAGACCCTCTTCTCCCTTGGCCGATTCTCTCTGGCGAAATCAGTAAACCCCACTTCGCTTGTCGATTTCCTTACTACTTATTTAGGTGCTAGAACTTTCTGGTAGTCACCATCAGCTTAGTCAATTTTCCAGTCGTGTTTAACTAGCAACATTTCATCAATTTATTGGCGGTACTCAAGATTTGCTTTTCGCAGGCCTAGTCGGCGTTGAGATAGCTTTATTCATCACATTCTCCCCTCATCCCCTTTAGAAACAGATAGCAATCATGTTTCGGTTCCTCGCTAAAGACCGCTCACAAAGGCAGCGCCTAGAGCTGCAGAAGGCGATGGCAACCTTCGCTTCGCCAGAGGAGTCCGAGGCACCTGCTCCGATGGAAGAAGACATTCCGTCACCAGCCGCTATGCCGCGACGGAAGTCCGTTCAGTTGGAGGAGCTTGAACGGCCGTCTCACCGCCGAAGCTCTGCTGCGGGGAGACAGTCCACGGTTAAAGAGGAACAAGGTGGCCCGTCCGGCAATGATTATGCAGCCATGTACGCGCCTCACGACGACCCATCACTCCGACGAAGCTCGCTGGATTGCGTCCGCTCCGCGCGTCGTTCCGGCGCTTCCCTGCCTCGTGCCAACGGTCCGTTTGGTGCTGCGTGTGAGAGCAGCGTTCAGGCTCAGCCAGACGCGGCTTACAGCCAACAGCGAAGTTCCGATAGCGAGGATGAAGTGAGCAGCGGGCCCGGCGGAGGGGTTCAGTCCCGGTCGTCGAGACGGCACCAGCAGAGCAAGTTAGGGCAACATGAGCCGCGGAGCAACCCGTTTGATTACGAGATGGAGGATACGCAAGTAGTCCCCGGACAAGGCGATATCGCCAGAAGGAATGCCCATTACTATGCGGGTGGTTGCGGTCGCACGGCCGCTGCCGAAGGGCCGTCAGCGCAAGTTGATAACCGGTTCTGTGACATGTCTGGGTGGGGAGTAATGGATCAAGCGCTGCATCCGGCAGGGTTGATGCAGGCCCGTGCTGCCATGGTGGCGCAAGGTCGCTCGAATATTAACCGGGGAAATACCTTTCCGGATATGATGTGACCTGGTTCAGTGGCCACTGTGTTCGTGTGTTGTGGATTTGGTGCCGGTAAGCTCAGGGGGAGTATTGAGCCTTGGCAGCCTGTTAGGTTTTTCCCCCCCCCCCCCTTTTCTGTGTGTTTAACTTTGCATTTGATATACCTATGATATGCTACCTGTAAATGAGCTGTGAACTCTTAATGTTTTCTGCCAAAAATACGTTACATTTTAGCAAGGACCCGTAATGCAGATTTGTCAGATTAGTTGACAGATTTTCCAGTTCCAAAGAAAATGGATCGTTCTCGTGCCATTGTTTCCTGCTCCTCCGCCATGAGCAAGGAGCGCAATTGATAAGAGATTCCGCTCTAATACTAACGCTCTCCGATTCCCAAATGCGTATGACGATGACTCAGCGCCACCCTCTGTTTCTCCACGTGATTCAGTAGTAGCGCACGACGTCCGTAGCAGCAGCATACATCGTGAAGTCGTCCTAAGTGCTCGCTCCTGAGAGGTCTCAAGCCAGTTAGGGGACGCTATAATCTGACTTGGATCAGGTTCGGTTACTCTTAGAATCGCTCGTAGATTAGTTTGGTCGCCTCTTCATAGGGTGCATAGAAATATATCGTAGCTGCAGTGTGGTGGCGAGACGGCCATCGAATTACCGGGATTGCCATTCTTGAGCACCCGTTTAGGACCAGATTTGCACATTCGACTCAGTGCGCTCTTCCCCGCACGCTGGTTTAAAGCGATTCCGTGGTTCTCGTTGCAACGGCGAACAGTTTAGCGACACGAACGCGCTGTGTGCTGGGAGCAGCGGTATCTTGTAACGAACGCGGTGCTTTTCCCGCCCGCGGTTCCCGGCGCGGGGCGGAACGGAACGAGGGCGGGCATTGCTCAAGGGAGGTGATAAGCGCGAAGGGAGCGGAGGCAGCTCGGGAAGCAAGGCGGGAAAGACAGGTTGGTGACGGGGACCGGAGCGGAGGAACGGGTTAACGGAGCGAGTTGAGGGGGAGAGAGGAGCACGGGGAAGAATATTTGGTAGAAGGTACGCAAATGCCGCGCGCGAGAGAGCAGGGGAAAGTTTCGGCAGGACGGCAGCGGGAGGAGAATGGGAGAGAGGCGGGAGGGGGAGGGAGAAAAGGGAGGGGAGCCATGCGTGCTGTAGACGTAGGTTCGGGGGGAAGAGAGAGGGGGGTGGGCAGAGAGGTAGCGGGTGGGAGAAAAGCGGCGGGGGGAACAGAAACGCGGGGGGGAAGAGATGCGTTTGGGGGAAAAGCCGTAGGCGGAAGGCGGAAGCGAGGGATCTCAGGAGAAGAGGAGGCGGTTGAGGGGAAGAGGAGGGCGAAGAGCCGCAGGAAACAGGGGGGGGAGTGGCCGCGCTTAGTGGCGCGAAAGCCTTGCTCCGATGCGCTGAGGCGCGCGCGGAGTGCGTGGATGAAGAGGAGATGGCGGGAGCTGAGGGCGCTGCAGGCGCAGCAGGTGGCGGAGGCGGAGGGCATGGGGGGAAAGGGGCAGGAGATGGAAAGGCGGAGGGTGACGCGAGGGGAAGGCAAGAGGCGGAGGGAGGAAGGGGATGAAGGTAGTGGTAGGGGGTTGAGTGTGGGCAGGGGGTTGAGTATGGGGAGGTGGCTGAGTGTGAGCAGGGGAGTAGCGAGGGGCAGGGGAGTGGAGAGTGGCAGGGGAGTGGAGAGCTATAGGGGAGTAGAGAGAGGAACAGGACGGAGGGGGATGAGGAGGCAAGAGGAGGAATGGGAGTGGAGTGAGGAAGGGGACGAAGCGGATTGGAGTAGTGGGGAATATGTTAGCGGGTCTTCTGATACTTATGATACTGATGATACTGATGATACTGATGGTACTGATGATACTGATGATGACGAGGAAGAGGAGGAACAGGATGAGGGAGAGGATGAGGGAGAGGATGAGGGAGAGGATGCGGGAGTGGATGAGGGAGAGGATGAGGGAGAGGATGAGGATGAAGTAGAAGAGATGAGGATGGTCGAATCAGAGGAGGGGAATGAACCGGAAGAGGGGAGTGAATCGGAGGAAGACGGGGAGGAAGAGGAGGAGAATGAGGAGGACGGTGTTTGGGAGGTCAGGAAAAGAAGTGATGCAAATGAGGAGTGCAGTGAGGAGGGGAGTGAGGAGAGGAGTGAGGAAGAGGAAGCGGAGGAAGAGGAGGGGGAGGAAGAGGAGGGGGAGGAAGAGGAGGCGGAGGAAGAGGAGGGGGAGGAAGAAGAGGAAGAAGAGGAAGAAGAGGAAGAAGAGGAAGAAGAGGAAGAGGAAGGGGAGGAAGAGGAGGGAAGGGGGGAGGAGGAGGATGATGACCTTGCAATGCCATCCTCACCCGCTACCACCGTCCCTGCTCCAAGGACTCCCAGCATCACTCCCCGTACTCATCCTCGCGTTTCTGGTATGTGCTCCTTCCCATGTCCCGTCCTTTGCTTCCTAGGGCACTCAACCCGTTCTGATGCTCCCCCTTGCTCGTTTTTTCTCACCCCCCAGGCCGCCCCACCTCTTGCGCCATTGGCCCACTCCTTTTTGATAGAATGTGGCAGTCATCCATGCGCCTATTCGTGTTTTCCTGCCAGGGAATGCATGCGGACAGCGGCGCCATGCAGATGTGTCTGAAGCTTCTCATCAAGGGGCAGGCTTGGGGGGAGATGAAAATGGCGGAGTGCGAAAGAAGGCTAAATGGTCCCGTTGGTCGGGGTTCACACGGGAAGAAACGTTTGAAGTGCGGAGAGCTGCTGCCAATGGGTTGGTGGATGTGATGGCTTCTGGAATGGCTGCCGTTCGCCACCTGGAAGAGTTTGTCGCGGTTTCTGCAATCCATGTGACTGGAGTGGTGTCAGTGGAAGAATTGGAGCAACGCCTGAAGGGGGAAGTGGAACGAATTGTTGAGAAGCAAAGGCGGAGCAGTCAGAAATTGGCAAAGGATTTGGAAGGGGCATATGCAGAGTGTGCTGCGATTCTCAAGGAGACACTAGAGAAGGTTGAGAAAGGGTGAAGGATAATGCACTTTCTTGTGACTCAGCTTTGTGTAGTTGCCTTTGTGAAAGTTGGTTTCGGCCATTATCTCCGATACTCAAAATTTGCCTGAGCGCGTTCTCAGGTGTAATCACCAACAGAAACACGGTTTCGCGATATAGTGGGGAGATTTGTTCGCTATTTTTTTTTTTATACAGTCACTAAAAAAAATCCAGCGCTTGCAAAACAAATAAATATAAAACCCGTAGCGAACCTAGATGATTTCCGGGAAGGATCAACCCTAAATACCGAAAGCCGCCCAATATTTTGGAAAACATATTGTTACAATCCCAAGTGGGACTTAGCAAAGGATCGTTCAGGGTTGATCGCAGAGTAGTGTTGCAGCGGAAGTTTGAATCTCAGGTCAGAGTGAATGTAAATGACTGAGTTGATAATAACATGCATACATCGAGTTTATATAAGAATACAGGGGAATACGAAAAGACCTAGACTAGCCATGTACTTTGAGGGGTACATTCCCTTATTACAGCAATTTCAAACCGTGCGGCGCGGGAACCCGTTTTGAACATGTTCCCGCTCTTTTCACTTCAAATGTTTCTGCCTGCATCGGTCTTGGTTAGACGGTTGATGCGTCGCTTCGACTCTTCTGACTCCTCGATTTCGTACTCGGTAGAGTCGGCTCCTGCAGCATACAGGAATGCCTTCTCATAAAACTTCATATCGTAACACTCCCCTTCATTCCTGGACGCGGGTGGAGCTGACTCGCTTGACTACTCCGGTGAGGTCAGAGCAGTGCTTGTACTGCTGACGTGGCAGACGCTTGGTGAGGAAGTCTGCCGCCATCTCAGTAGTTGGGCAGTAGGCGAGGTAAACCTTTCCTTGGTCGATTTCGTCCTTGACGAAAAAGTACCGAAGTGCGATGTGCTTCGTGCGGTTCACGAATCCTGGCTTGTTTGCGATCCTGATGGCACTCTGGTTGTCGCAGTGAAGGCGAAAGGTAGGCGAGGTTGGGATTTTCGCTTCCTGTAGCAGCTCCTGCAGGTACAGGCCTACGCGAACTGCTGCTGTCGCGGCGATGTATTCTGCTTCGGCCGATGACAGAGCAACCAGCTCTTGCTTCTGCGAGTTCCAGGAGATTGGCCCAGTTGGTTCCAGGCGAAAGACGAAGCTGGTTCGGGACCGTCGATTTGCAGGATCAGCTGCATGATCTGCGTCCACGTAGCCGTTGAGGTTGAAGGAGGTCGTCGTCAGCGTGGAGTAGGAGAGCCCAATGTCAGGTGTGGAAATGAAATATTGCAGGGCGCGTTCCAGATCCAGCTGGTTCTCAGCTACTGGCTTGCGATAATACTGCGCCAGTTGGCTAGCGATGTACGAAAGGTCGGGTCGGCAGGTGACAGAGGCGAACAGCAGGCAACCCAGTTGCTGCTGGTACAGTTGGAGCCCTGCGGGTGACAGTGGTTTGTTGTCCGGTTTGTAGTTGGTGCTGGGGTTGCGGTAGGGAGTTGAAAGTGGTGCTGGGGAGATGTTGAAGCGTTCCCCTAGCTGTTCTGCGTACTTGGAGGCTGACAGATGAATTGCTTCTGGCGCGTAAGTGATGTTTAACCCCAAAAACTGCTTCAATTCGAGATTGATGGTGATATCCTCGCGCTGCGCCAGGTTCTCCTGAAACTGATCGAGGAGTTTGTTGCAGGTGCCTGTGTACAGCAGGTCGTCGACGTAGACTGCCAGGAGGATGTAGTCGACACTGAAGTGAAGACGATACATTCCCGGGTCGTGTGGAAGCTGCTTGAAGCCGATTTCAAGGAGGATTTTGCGCAGATGCTGCTACCAGAGGCGAGGCGCTTGCTTGATCCCGTAGAGGGACTTCTTCAGTTGACAGACCCTGGGATCACCTTCTCCGTAGGTATGTGGCTGCTCTACGAAGATGGTGGCGTCCACCAACGCGTATAGAAACGCGTTCTTCACGTCGATCTGTCGCAATGGTAGGTGCTTAGTGGCGGCAATGGCGAGTAGAATTCTGACGGAGGTGTGACGACTGGCGGGAGCGAAGGTTTGATCAAAGTCAATGCCGTGGCGCTGATCATACCCGCGTACGACCCAGCGTGAGTGGAAGCGCTCAATAGTGCCGTCATCGTTAGTTTTCAAGCGAAAAAACCACTTTCCGCTGAGTACCCTTCCCCCCTTCACTGCCGCACGATCGACTAGGACCCAGGTGTCTCGAGATTCCAGCGCTCTTAGCTCCGCATCCATCGCAGCACGCCACTCCTTGGCGTGAGGGCCGGTTAGGGCCTGGCGAGGATTCTTTGGCTCCACGGCTCGTGCGAGAGTGGTGACGGACGTGTGCAGGCCGAGGAGTTGTAGGCCAGACACATTAGTGGTGTTTGTGTCGGTGGTGACTTCCACCACGTCGTCGTCTCCGCTTTCGTAGCCGGATGCAGCGGTGCTTGGCTCTGCTTGGCGCCGTGACGGCCCTGGTGCAGGGTCATCATCGCTGTCATCGTCGCGCGGGCGAGACGGGATGCTGGGATGTTCATCGGTGTCGTCGCGGTCCAGTGCTGCTGCTGCTGCTTCGTCTTCTGGAGTCGCAAAGCTGCGGCCGCTGTTGGCGTAGCCTCGTGCCTGGTTGCGGCGTTCGTCCTCGATCCACTGCTTCAGGGTGAGCCGCTCGTAGAAGAGAATGTCACGCGCAGGAACAATCTCGTTACTGTTGATGTCAAGAATGAGCCATCCTTTGTGCTCGTGACTGAGCCCCAGATGAACTCCCCAGCGCGCACGATGAACGAACTTGCCGATTGTGGCCGAAGTCGGCCGATATTGCACCATGCACCCCCAAACTCTCAGCATGGAGGGGTCTCCCCTTGAGCCGGTCCACTTCATGTGAGGGGACAGGTTATCCCTGTTGGCAGTGGTGGAGAGGAGGTTGTGCAGGCGCACCGCGTGGTTCATGGCGTAGGGCCAAAACTTCTTTGGCAGGCCGGACTGGTTCATGATAGCGCGGACTTTTGTCATGAGAGTACGATTGACCCTCTCAGCGACACCTTGCTGCTGGTGAGCGTAGGGGAGAGAAATCTCATGCTTGATCCCCTTCTCGGTGAGGATGCTCTCCAGTTCATTGCTGCGGAATTCCCTGGCCCCATCACTCTGCCAGATCTTCAGCTTCCTTCCTGACTGCTGTTGCGCGTTTGCGAGGAAGATGCGGAACACTTTCGGAGCCTTGGAGCGAGCGTCGACATTGGCGATCCACACGTGGCGCGAGTAGGCGTCGATGAAGGTCAGCGTGTACTTTTCGCTGTTGAGTCCGTCGCAGGTGAGCACGATGAAGTCGTTGTACACCTTCTCCAACTTCTTGTAACGGTTGGTGCTCGGCTCCAGAGAGGGGTAGGCGGTGTGAGAGAGTGCGGCTGTGGGACAGACAGTGCAGGTGGTCGGGTGTGGGGTGTTGTTCTGTAGTTCCGTTCCGTCGGGGCGCAGCAGTGCTCCTGGCGGAAAGACTTTAGCGCGGAGGCAGTTGGCGAGTGTCTGGCGCGAGGGGTGGCCCATCCGCTGGTGCCAGAGATCATCCTCGGCGCGGATGCCGGAGGTGCGCTTGTAACGAGCGTAGTGTTCTGCTGCTTCTTCTGCCGTGAGTTGCGAGATCTGGAGTGGGGGCTCTTCCTCTTCTCCTGCATCTGCTTCGTTGTCCGGCTCCTCTGTTTCTGCTTCTGCCGTTGCCTCCCCTTATGCAGGTGCCGTTGTGAGGTAGAGGGCGAGAAATTCTCGGTCGGGGATGATGGTGAGCGGGGTCGTGGTGCCTTCGATGAAGCGAGCAAACGGATCTGGGCGGGAGATTGGACCAAGTGAGTCCCGCGGAGGAGTTGGTGGTGTATTCCCCTCCTCAATCTCCGACCAAGGATCGTTCCAGCGATGAGGTGAGCGAGGTGGTTCACCAGTGCGTGGGGGTCGTCCGAGGGGAATGACGACTCGTGGTGATACTTCTCCACGCTCAACTTTTATCTCTCGTTCAGCTTCCTCCAATTCTTCTTGCGTAAGCTCCCCTTCGTCAGGTTCGGCTGTCCCCCATCCTCCCGTAGTGACCGTGCCGCTGGCGTTGGTTCCCCATCCTCCAGTTGCGGATGCCCAGGTTGCGCCTCCTTCTGGTTCGTAATCCTCATCTCCCCATGCGCCTCGTCGTGCAGACTCTTCGTCCCACCCTGCCGCGACACGCTCCTCATACAACTTTTGTTTCTTTTATGCTCGGGCCTTGTCTTGTTCTTCCTTGACGCTCAGCTCCCCTTTTGCATCAGGATCCTTCCAGGCCGAATCAATTTTACGGCGGTAGACTTCACGAGTGTATGGGCGCGGTCGTCCTTCTTCGTCGAAGGTGGTGGTGTTGGCTTCTAGGACGAATCGGAGGTTCTTGGAGTAGGTTCGCTCTTCTTGCTGACGTCCGGGGTCATTGGATGGTTCGCCGAAGATGCGGTAGGATGACACAGCGAGCTCGTCTCTGGTCATGCCGGTAGGTTCCGCCTCGGCACTTTCTGCTTCCTGAATCGCCGCATAGTTCTTTTCGACTTGCTCTGTGCGGCTCGCAGTGGGTGTGTGGCAGGTGGTGCAGAGACCGTTCATGTCTGGTTCGTGCAAGTTGATCTCACGGGGGTGAGGGCTGTGGCGAACCCATGGTCGTCCGTCCGGATGCTCCCATGATTCTTTGTTCATGATGGCGAACTCGAGAGGAACAAGGTCCACGAGCTCGTCTGATGACGCTTGGCAAGAAGGTACGTCGAAGTCCAAGATATAGATCCCGTTGATTGAGCGTGCTCGTCCGAGATACTTCAACGACTCGGGAGGTGTATCCGAGGGAGCGTAGGTAAGGATGAGGTCGCGTGTGGCAAGGTCCGTGTGTATTATGACTCCACAGTCGCGGAGTTGTCCAGCCGAGAGCAGATTGAAGCGGAGATTCGGGACGTAGAGCACGTCGTTGAATGAGATGTGAGTGTTGCCGTCTCGTGCTTGCAGAACGACGATGCCTTGTGAATTGGCGCGCAACTGCTCGTTGTTGGCGACGGTGACATAAATTACGGGGGCGTGACTCAGGTTCGAGACGTATCGCATGGATCCCACCATGTGCTGTCCGCAGCAGCTATCCAGGTACCAGGTGTTGTAGTTGTCGGTGTTGTTCCTGCGCAGAAGTAGCGCCAGTCGCGGAGTCACCAGGGTTGCCTTGTAGCGCCTGTGGAAGGAGGGGTCTTCGTCTTCCTTCCATCCCACTGTTACGTATAGCTGTTTGTCGTGTGGCGGGCTTTCTCGCAATGTGATTGACTGATTCCAATCTTGCTCATCTTCGTCGTACAGGTAATAGTGATCTTCAGTAAGGGGATTATTCCAACCCTCTTCTGGCTCAAGGAGTCTTCCTTGGATCTCGTTTTTGTCAGAGGTCCACTGGTGATCCCCGATTGATCCTAGGGAAGGGTTACAGGCATGTTGGCCTGGGGGGTTATGGGCGCACTGACCCGCTACTTAACAAGCCCTTTTATCCCAATGGTCTAGTGGTTGGGATTCTGACATGTTATCAGAGCGAAGGTCTCGGGTTCGAATCCCAGTGTGTGCACTTCGGGCATCCCAGTGCGGGGGGGTGTCAGAGGTCCACTGGTGATCCCCGATTGATCCTAGGGAAGGGTTACAGGCATGTTGGCCTGGGGGGTTATGGGCGCACTGACCCGCTACTTAACAAGCCCTTTTATCCCAATGGTCTAGTGGTTGGGATTCTGACAGTTTTCCTCGTCAGGTTCAGCAGTGCGACGACGTCGCGTCGCCATGTTGGCGATGATGCTCCTAAGAGCTCCTGATTGGGATCCTTGAGTTTGCTGATGTTGATGCTGTGCAGGAGGACGAGATGTCTGGTGCCGAGGCTGAGAATGACGAGCGTCTTGTCGGCCGACCCAGTTGTTGTGGTGAGTGGAATTTGGGTGGCGGAAGTTGGATCGGGATTTGCATCGATCCGTTGAGTGTCCGAAGACTTTGCATATTTTGCAATAATGGTGCCTTGGTTGTCGTCGCTCTTCTCGGTTGTCTGCGTAGAAGGCGAGGCGCTCTCGGCGCGGCGCGGAGCTTGTTCTGCTCGAATCTATGTCCTGCTGTTCGGACAGGAGTGCGGCGCATAGCGCGGCTTCAGAGATGATCCCTCGCTGTCGGAGTAGCGCTTTATAGGGCTTCCACTCTGGCCCGAGTCCTTGAAGGACTATGTTGACGAAAATCTCTTCCGAGATTGTACTCCCATGCTTCGTGATCTGGTCACGGATGTTGCGACAGCGGTTAATATACGGATTCGCTTTCTCCCCGTGCCCCATCTTTATCTCCAAAAGTTGCTGCAGAAGCCTGCTGGCGGTGACCGAATCCTTCGGCTGGTAAACTTCAACGAGGTGCTTCCAAGCTTCCAAGGCTGGAGCGTCGCTCTCTTTGTAGGAGCGAATGTTGAGTTGTTCCGCAGGCGTCATGTTGCGTAGCAGCACGCTGTAGGCCATGAGAGACTCGCTGTAGTACTGAGCTCTGGCGACTTCGGTGTTTTCCACCGGTTTAGGGTAGGAGCCGTTGAAGTAATGGTAGATCTGCGCCGTTTGTAGGAGGAGCTCAAGCTCGAAACTCCATGTGTAGAAGTCTTTACCGTCAAACGCGGCAGTAGTTTTGATTTTTGAAACGCTAAGGAAGCGTGTTTGCGCAGAGTTGATAGCTTCATCACTTGGACGGGGGGCAATTGTTGTTGATTTGTCAGTGTCGAGGGAGAAGGTATGCGCGGCGGTATCATGGCTTTTCTCAGCCGGTTGTCCAGGTTGTACTGGTTGGGAAGAGGTTCCCGCATCGCCTTTGCGCAGGTCTTGGAGTTCTTTCTCCATAGTTGAAAGTCGAGCGAAAAGTTGCTCGAGAGAGGCAGTGCCAATCGTGGTTGTCGCCTCATTTGTCGCAGCCGGGTTGGTTTGTCCTTCAGCCGTCGGATTTGCTTGGCCTCCGAATCCTCCGGCCATCTTGGTCTTGGAGCGTGTGCCGTTCGCCAGATCTTGGTTCGGCGAATTTCACGGAAATGAAGTTGCGAAGAATCACTGAGTGGCTCTCATACCATGTTACAATCCCAAGTGGGACTTAGCAAAGGATCGTTCAGGGTTGATCGCAGAGTAGTGTTGCAGCGGAAGTTTGAATCTCAAGTCAGAGTGAATGTAAATGACTGAGTTGATAATAACATGCATACATCGAGTTTATATAAGAATACAGGGGAATACGAAAAGACCTAGACTAGCCATGTACTCTAAGGGGTACATTCCCTTATTACAGCAATTTCAAACCGTGCGGCGCGGGAACCTGTTTTGAACATGTTCCCGCTCTTTTCACTTCAAATGTTTCTGCCTGCATCGGTCTTGGTCAGACGGTTGCTGCGTCGCTTCGACTCTTCTGACTCCTCGACTTTGTACTCGGTAGAGTCGGCTCCTGCAGCATACAGGAATGCCTTCTCATAAACTTCATATCGTAACACATATTGCAACCCACTTTACAGAAAAAATAAAACCCAATCGGAAAGGGATGCGACTCGGGAGGCATCAACCCTAAAAACAATTCCCATTTCCTTGTTTAGGGTTGACTCCTTTCGAAAATGCATCCAGGTTCCCTAGGGGTTTTATTTGTTTTCTGCCATGCCCGAATAGTTTTGGGTAGCGTCGTCTAGTGCTTTCGGTAGCGTTGTTTAGCGGTCGGTTGCGCTACCGAGCACTACCAAGTGAATTATATGGGCTTCATTCTCTTACTACCTAAATTTCCGTACTTGTATCCAAGTCGGGAGGGTAAACTAGCTGGTTCCGTTTTTGTCTCTTCCCAATGAGTTCAACCAGCGTGAGAAATGTGATTATACCGCGACAACCAATCAACGTTGAGAAAGTCCAGGTTGATTACACCTGAGAACGCGCTCAGACAAAATCTGAGTATCGGAGATAATGGCCGAGTTGGTTTTGTAATTGAGTTCTTCCAAACGGAAAACCATGGAGCTGGAGGTCTCCATGTGAAATTCGTGCAATCAAAACTTACCACCTGTCCAAAAAGCCGGTACAGCCGCACTTTCACGGCGCTCATTTCATCACACAGCCCGGCAAGCTCTCCGCAGTGTGTCCCCGGCGCCCCCTTTCCGCGCACTCCTCGGGATTGGCCGTCTTCTTCATCGGACGGCTGAGATGCACTCGACACTTTTCAAGCACCCATAATGCACTTCCTCGATTCTGCCTGACCCGACCCTCCATGGCGGTTTGACGACCTTCGGGGAACTGGAAATTACTTCAGACGAAGCGTTCTGCTTGGGGTTGGATTATTCCTCCAGTCTCACTCACAGAGCCATCCAGTTTCACGAATGCACCAGTTCCCTGCCTCCTCGTCCCCTGAGACTCCGCGGCCCGTCCTGGTGTCAGTAATAACCGCTGAATCTCCGCCGTTTGTGCGGCAACGCGCAAGAAGCCGCTCTCCTATGGTAGAGTCGTTAGCGTCGCCACTGATTGGCCCATGCTCTAGCGACGCTGTTTCCAGCAAGGGAAAGGTAAATTCGAATTCAAGCATGGGCTGAAGTCGCGGTGACGTTGCTCGGCGATCCTAATCCTGTTATTCCACTGCCAGGCGTCGCGGTGCCGCGCGCAACCAGCGATGGGGTCGCAATTATCGGGGGAAAAGGAGCGCCTCACGCAGGGAGCTCCGCTTTCGCATGAGGTACCCGCGATCTTGTCCCGCAATCCGACCGCACAGTCCTTTACTAGGCCGTTTTCCCGTTCGACGACCTAATATCGCAATACTTGGTTGTCCTAGTTAAAATCGTCCGTTACTGAGCCGATTAGCGTTATTGCGCGTCCGTGTGTGCGGTAGGATTCGGCGCACGAGCAGTTTGAGAAGAGTCACGGGCCGCACGGCCAGAAGCTGACGCTGCTGCCGCTCATCGCGCTCATCTTCTTCGAGGTCAGCCAAGCACCATGGCAGGGCACGATTTTTTATTTGATGGGACGAGAGGTTAGGTTTGCATTTCATGCGTGTTCAGACGAAGGCAAAAGCTCTTCATTTGTACTCCTTACATTACTTTTGCTTCTTCTCCCCTTTTCTTGATATTGTTCTCCCGTCTTCTCGTTTCCGTTCGTGCGTGCAGGTGTCCGGCGGGCCATACGGCGTGGAGGACGCCGTGAAGTACGGCGGGCCTCTGCTTGCCATCCTAGGCTTCACCGTCTTCCCCCTCGTGCGCACTGCCTCTCGCCTCCGCACCCTCCCCACCTTCCGCAACTTTCATCTCTCATTTCCACCAACCACGCACGCATCTCGCACCAACCCCCTCACAGCACATCCATTTGACTTCTCCCCTTGGGCAGTGTTCCATGTCAGACGCCAATCCACCACCACTCACTCCCATCACCCACCCTCCTTCACCGCTTGCCATTCGCTTTCCTTCCTCCCATCACCCCTTCACTACTCACTATCCACCCCATTCCCCCTTCCCTCTCCTCCCCCCTTCTTCCCCCTCCCCTCCTCCCCCTTCCCGCTCCGCCACCCCCCATTCCCTGCTCCGCTATTTCCCACTTCCCCCATGCACACCCTTCAGATCTGGAGCGTGCCAGAGGCCCTGACCACCGCAGAGCTAGGAACAGCCTTCCCGGAGAACGGGGGCTACGTGGTGTGGGTGTCAGCGGCGTTTGGCCCCTTCTGGGGCTTCCAGGAGGGGTGGTGGAAGTGGCTGAGTGGCGTGATAGACAACTCGCTCTACCCGCTGCTCTTCCTCGACTACTTGAAGCGCGAGCTCCCTGTGTTTGGCGGAGGCCTGCCTCGCATGGCGGCACTGCTTGCCATGACTCTGGTGCGTCTTGGTCTGGTTTGACCTGATGCTGCGTCTACTCGCCATTTCCCCTCCCTGGTGCTTGAGCATCACTCCCTTGTCACCACTTCGTTTCTTGACGCCAGCCCAGCAGGCGACCCAAGTCTATTTCTCTGACCCCCTTCCCCAGTTCAGCTGCTCACTATGTGAAGTACCAGGCGATCTTTGAGGCGTTCTGAAACTTGAGCCCTCCTCAATCCTTCCTCTCTGGGACTGTCCCCCTTCCGCCCTGCCAGGTGCTGACGTACGTGAACTACCGCGGGCTGACGATAGTGGGCGCCACTGCCATCGCGCTGGCAGTGTTCGGGCTGCTGCCCTTTGTGGTGATGGCGCTGCTCGCCATCCCCAAGATCCAACCCGCCCGCTGGTCCGTCATTGGGGGGGGAAGAGGGGGGGGAGAGTTGTTGGTTGGTGAGTTGCAGGGTTGGCTGGTGGGGGGAGGAGAGGGGATGGTAAGGAAGGTGGTGCTGCCCTTCGTGGTCATGGCGCTGCTCGCCATCCCCAAGATCCAACCCGCCCGCTGGTCCGTCATTGGGGGCAGGGGGCTTGGTTGCTGGGCAGCAGGGTTAGTTGGGAGGGAACAGGAGGGGAAGGGAATGGCAGGAAAGGGCGGGTGAGGTCATGGGAGGGCAGTTGATGGCAGCGGAGGGCAGGAGGCGAGTGGGGGGAAGAGGGGGGGAGAAGGGAGGGGTGGGAAGGGAAGGGAAGGGAAGGGGAGAAGAGCATAGGAGGGGTGGTGGGAATGATCACGCGAATCCTCATGCTGCTCCACCAGCAGGTTGCAGGAACTTCCCAGCCCTGCGTATAATTCTTGGATCACTGTTTTGCGGGATGCTTGCGAGGGTGTATGGGTGTGCGTGCATGGGTGGCATTGCAGGCTGGTGGTGGATCTGAACCGCGTGCAGTGGCGGGGGTACTTCAACACACTCTTCTGGAACCTCAACTACTGGGACTCCGTCAGGTGGGTGCTCCATCAAGAAAGCTTCTCTCAACTGCTGGAACTCTCTACCGTAGGGACTCTATATATGTTGGAGTTGCTTTTGAGTCGTCTCAGAAGCAATTTCATCAGGTGTGGACTCACTCAGCCAGGTGGGAGTCGCTGTTGTCTTGTTTCACCCAGGCTGTCTTCCTTGCTGCTTTCAACCTTCCTCATCATCAACCCTCCTTTCTGCATCCTCTCCACCCTCTCCTGCTGACTGTGCGTCATTCTGGGTGAACGCACCGCACACCCCCCACCCAACCCCCTCCCCCTTTCCCCCCTTCCCTCCCCATCCTGCCCTGCACAGCACGCTAGCAGGCGAAATAGAGGAGCCGAAGCGCACCTTCCCGCGGGCGCTGATGGGGGCGGTGGTGCTGGTGGTGGTGTCGTACCTCGTGCCCCTGCTCGCAGGCACAGGCGCCGTGCCATTCTCCCCGGACGGCTGGGACGACGGGTATCTGGCCGTGGTGGGTCGCGTCATCGGGGGCGGCTGGCTCGCCTGGTGGATTGCGTGTGCCGCTGCGCTGTCCAACATGGGCGCATTTGAGGCGGAGATGAGCAGGTGTGTGCGTTTGGGGGGGAGATGTGCACGTCGGGGGCGGGAATTGATCCTTGAGTTGACTGAAATGTCACTGGGGGGCCGGCTGGCTGGTTCGTCTGGTGGGTTGTGTGTGCGGCTGGGCTTTCCCGCATGAGCACGTTTGAGGTGGACATGAGTGGGTGGACTTTCCATATGGCACCAGTAGTTCTGCACTCTCTTATCCCACCACCCTCATCTCGATTGCTCATCTCCCATGCCACTCCCTCTTTCTCGCAACTGCATGTATACAGCACTACTGCCCCATACTCTCCCACCCACCCTCCCTCCCTCCCTCCCTCGACGCACACTCGCAGCGATGCGTTTCAGCTGCTGGGAATGGCGGAGCGGGGCATGCTGCCCGAGGTCTTCACGTACCTCCCCCCCTCCCCCCCTCCGCCCTCCCTCTGTCCCTCCCTCCCCCCTCCCCCCCCCCTCCCCCCACGCAGCGACGCGTTTCAGCTGCTGGGGATGGCGGAGCGAGGCCTGCTGCCCGAGGTCTTCACGTACCGGTCGCGGCACGGCACGCCCGTGCTGGGCATCGTGTGCAGCGCCACGGGCATCGTGCTGCTGTCGTGGATGAGCTTTCAGGAGATCGTCGAGTTCCTCAACTTCCTCTACTGCTTCGGCATGCTGCTTGAGTTTGCCGCCTTTGTGGCGCTCCGGGTCACGCAGCCTGACCTGAACCGGCCGTACAGGTATGCACTCGTGCGCTCTCAACCATCCACATTGCTCCAATCAGCCGTGCTTTCACAACACGTCCCCAGTGTTCTTCTCTTCCCCTGGTTATCCAGATGTGGTCTAAATTTGGATTTGGCTGCGATTCGTGTCTCCCACGTTTCCCTTCACGTTTTTTTTTTCTTCCATGCTCGCTCCTCCCTGACCACGAATGGCCACCGCTGCTTCGCCCTCTCACTGCTTCTCTCTCCCGTGCGCTGCCTCTCACCCCACAGGGTCCCCGTGGACACCATGGGAGCAGCGCTGCTGTGCCTGCCGCCCTCCCTGCTGCTCGTTCTCGTCATGGCCCTCGCGTCCTGGCAGACAGTCATTGTCAGGTGAGGTTTGCGGTGTCGGTGTGGGTGTGGGTGTGAGGTGTGTTACGAGTCAAATCGGAACACGCATGGGAGCAGCACTCATTCTCGTCATGGCCCTCGCGTCCTGGCAGACAGTCATTGTCAGGTGAGGTTTGCGGTGTCGGTGTGGGTGTGGGTGTGAGGTGTGTTACGAGTCAAATCGGAACACGCATGGGAGCAGCACTCTTCTCGTCATGGCCCTCGCGTCCTGGCAGACAGTCATTGTCAGGTGAGGTTTGCGGTGTCGGTGTGGGTGTGGGTGTGAGGTGTGTTACGAGTCAAATCGGAACACGCATGGGAGCAGCACTCTTCTCGTCATGGCCCTCGCGTCCTGGCAGAAAGTCATTGTCAGGTGAGGTTTGCGGTGTGGGTGTGGGTGTGGGTGTGAGGTGTGTTACGAGTCAAATCGGAACACGCATGGGAGCAGCACTCTTCTCGTCATGGCCCTCGCGTCCTGGCAGGCCGTCATTGTCAGGTGAGATTTGCAGTGTGGAGCGTCAGGTGTGGGGCGTGGGATGGAATGTGTGGGGTGTAGGCTGGGATGTGGGAGGTGGGAGGTGTGAGATGTTGAGGCATGAGGCGTGAGGTGGGAGATATGTGATGTTCCTCATCGAGAGGTGTGGATTCGCCATTGCTAGCTGCCCAACCCACCGTCCCGACACGCACTCTCTCGCGCTGCCGCAACCTCCTCTTGATCCCACTCCCGGAGCACATCCTCCCTTGTTACCTGCCCACCCCCATCCGTCCCGACACACGCTCTCTCGCACACCTCCAACCCCGCCCCCCCCCCTGATCTGACTCCCGGAGCTTCCGTCCCACCATTGTCTGCTTCTCCATGCATCTTTCCGTCCCGTGTCCCATCTCATGCCCCTGGCAGCTCCATAGCAGCCTTGCTGGGTCTGCTGCTCCCGCTGCTCATGATGGGACCTTCAATCCGAAAATCTTACCCACCCCTTCTTGCTTACTCCTCCATGCACCTTGCCGCCCCCCTGCCCCATCCTCCTGCCAGCTCCATAGCAGCTGTGGTGGGGCTGCTGATGTACCCGCTGCTCATGTGGGCGAAGCACCACGGCGTGCTCAAGTTCACTCAGGACCCGGGCCTGCCAGACGTGGCTCTCATGGACGAGGATGACGGCAGTGAGGGCGAGGGTGGGTTTGATGGGGCGGCAGGCAAGGGAGGGATGGGGAAGGAGGACGGTGGGGCTGGTGTGCGGGATGGGGTTGATGGGGATGGTGCTGTGGCTGACAGTGAGAATGGGTTGCTGCTGGGGAAGGAGGGGAGGGAGAAGGGGAGCAGCAAGGTGGTGCCAGTGGAGTGTCCGGGGAAGTCTGATGGATCGCTGCGAGCAGGTGCAGGTGATGCGGTGCTCTCGGCATGTGAGGGACAGTCGCCTCCTGTCTTGGTGGGATCGTTGCCTAGTGATGGGCTGCTTGCGCACCAAGATGGGCTGTCTGGAGGTGGAGCGAATGCAAGCCAAGAGCAACAAGGTGGAGTTAAATCTGAGGCAGCTTCCGAATCGGACAGCATGCTGCTGTTGGGAGATTCTGGAGGTCGCAGATAGCATTGCTTTAATGTGATGGTATTCTGGAACTGGCGCTCATATTGTATAAATTGTATTTGTAGTGTGTGCTGCTTTATTTGCAAGTGCATATACGTTGAACCTCGACGCCAACTCGCGGATTATGATCCCACGCATCGCGATTCGCGGCTCGCCAATTCACAAATGTCGTCATGTAATTGCAAACGGGCATTTTGGCCCCTCCCCCTCGTACACTCACCTCGTCCCTCATGTGATCATATGTCCACCCACATTTCGCCTCCAACCATCCCACCAACCCAATCCCCACCACGTGCACATCCAACGTCACATTCTCACATGCATGCACGCCATTCTGCGGGCGCTTCCGCTCGCACGCTGCTGGAGCAGCTCTTTCGGGGTAAGCCGTGAACCATCTCCCGATCTACCTCCCCGGGAGGGAGATCAGGTTCTTGACTCCTCGACCTGCTGCATATAGTGATCAGCTTCCTTCGCAAGCGTGCGACGCTGTGTTTTCCTGTCCGTCCTGTCCGTCAACGCCATTCTGCGCTACTTTCCGCGCCGTGCTATCCAAATCGCTCTCGCGAGCGCATTGCAACGTCATCATGGCGGCGCACAAGCCGTTATCGACGGGTGGGGAGGCGGCCTCAGAGTTCTCGGACGTCCCCGGCGGGGCGAAGAGCGTGACGACGAGGGTGATGGAGACGGGCGCGAGCGCCGTGCAGCAGTTCGGCCCCATCCGCCAGATCGGCCAACACCTCTGCGCGTCAGTGCTCTAGATTACCCTAAAGGACCCTAAACCGGTCTTGGCTGCGTAACCTTCAAGGTTTAGAAAAAATATTTGGCCCCTTTGCTTGCTCGGATAGTACACGCTCGAGTCTCCTTGCAGAACCATCAATCTCGTCCGACTACTTGCGTTGCTGTCTTTGAGATGAGTTGGGATGAGCCGTGGCCACCATGCGATTATACGAACAGCCTAATGATGCACTGTTGCCCATTCCCGCCTACCACCCCCCGCCATGTTCCACTACTACGCGAATGACATGTCGCGACAAGTCGAGGCGCACCTCTACTGCTCGCACGTCAGAGGGCGTGCACCAGTGCCTCCTCTACGACTCCTTGATCAGCCCCCCTCATGCAACCATGCAAACAGCCTATCCGTGTACTGTTCTTCGTTGTCCCCCTACCGTCCACCCCACCAGGTTCCACTATTATGCCAACGACATGTCGCGACAAGTCGAGGCGCACCACTACTGCTCGCACGTCAGCGAGGACGTGCACCAGTGCCTCGTCTACGACTCCGACCAGCCCTCCGCGCGCCTCATCGGTGTCGAGTTCATCGTCTCAGAAAAGATCTTCCTGTCTTTGCCTGAGGACGAGCAGCGCATGTGGCACTCGCACGAGTATGAGGTCAAAAGCGGGCTGCTCATCATGCCGGGCATGCCGGCAGTAGCAGAGCTGCCTGTGATGAGCAAGCTCGTGAAGACGTTTGGCAAGACGTGGCACTTCTGGCAGTTTGATAGGGGAGACACACTGCCGCTGGGTGTGCCGCAGCTCATGGGGGCGTTCTTTGCTGACGGGCAGCTGAAACCCGAACTGCCTAAAGGTGTGCTGCTGGTTTGTTATGAAGTAGGCCCGTGCTTGCCACTGATGCTAGCCGTCATTCACCCTTCCCTTCTAGCGAACTCTCAAATTTCTACCATTCCCTCACTCCACTCGTGCGCACTCCCTGTCTTCTGTTCTCTCTGCCCTCTGCCATCTCTCTCGCTCTCATTTTCCCCTCCTCCCTGGCTGCAGCGGTGGAGCAGCGGTATGGGGTGCAGCTGGAGGAGAGGCGGCAGCTGCGAGCTGACCTTACAGGCCCTGAGCTCGCTGTGGATCGCTTAGCGCAGCAGTTTAAAAGGGGGATGGGGTATGAGACACAGCTCAAGGAGTGCCAGCTGGACGGGCAGGAGCGGATGGCAAAGGGAGGCGTGGGTGCCGCAAGTGTGACTGGTGTGGGCAGTGGTGGCATGGAGCATGTGGGGCAGGCAGGGACAGGCACTACAGGCAGCGACTGCAAGGCCAGGATTGGTGGCTGAGTGAAGAGGTGTTGAGGTTGAGAGGATGCTTCTTGGTCTTGGTGGTAGTTGGCTCCGAGGCAGATATATACCGTACATACCTGTATGTTATACTTGTACATACCATGTGATTAGATAATTAGTGTTGTAACAGAAGGTATGGCGCTTCAGCTTGAAAGCTGTTGGCATGCCACTTGAGTGTTGCTTGCACTGAGTGCTTTTCGTACAAACACATTGCAGCCCATGACCCCTCTACCCAGGCAACACTATCACCACTCACATTGCACTGTAACACACCAACTCCCTTCACACACATACTGACAGCAGCAGTTGCAGCAGTGCACTGACACGCACACCCAAACACACCACACCTTGCTCACATGCTCAGGTGTTGGTGCAGGTAGGCAGACGGGCAAGGAAGCATTTGACTTTGAAGGGCGTGATACGGCGCAGGTGCGGGTGTGGGTAACTGAGCGCCCAGAAGCCCACCTTTTGAGATGCCTCAAGTGTTGAAAGTAGATGGTGTGGGCGCGGGTGGGAGGGCGAGCAAGGAAGGACTTGAGCTTGGCGAGCAAGGAAGGACTTGAGCTTGGCGAGCAAGGAAGGACTTGAGCTTGGCGAGCAAGGAAGGACTTGAGCTTGGTGAGCGGCGCAGCTGCGGGTGCCTGAGTGCCAGAAGTCCGCCCTTTGAGGTGCCTCAGAAGTCGTCAGTAAATGGTGTCGGCGCGCGTGGGCAGGCGAGCGAGGAAGCATTTGACCTTGGTGGGCGTGATGCGGCGCAGGCGCGGGTGTCTCATCGCCCAGAAGCCCGCTGCTAGCGCCACGGGGCGGAAGGGCAGCAGCAGCAGCACAGCCATGAGCGCCGTGCACGCTGACATGAGCAGGAACGTGGCTCTGAGGGGTTGGGAAAGGGAGCAGGGGTGGTTTGGGTGGGATGAACAGAGAGGGGCATCACGGAGGCTCAAAAGAGCAGCAGCAGCATGAGCGCTGCACACGGTGACATGAGCAGGAGTGTGGCCCTGAGGCGAAGGGAGGGGAAGACTTGTGGTGGGGGTGAGGGTGGAGGGGTAATGAGGGAGAGAGTGCAGAACAGCGGTGTGGCATTAAGGGACAGTGGGTGCGTGATATCTGGAAAGGGAAAGAGACAGGAAGTGAGGAGTCTGAAATTTATGGGACATGGTGCGAGGAATGATGAGGGAGAAGGCATTGGTTAGACCTCACCTTGGATCTCGCCACGTCAGCAGCATCTCTATCTTCTCTGCTGCGTCAGCAATGACCCCAAGGCCCCGTTGCACCCTCCCTGCACCGTCCATGAGCTTGTCGTACTTGGCCCTCAGGGCCTGTGGCGGGCAGAGCAGCGCAGAGCAGAGCAGAGCAGAGCAGAGCAGAGCAGAGCAGGGCAGAGCGGGGGAGGAGGAAGGGGAAAGAGGGAAGGAAGGGTGAGGGAGAAAAGGAAGATTGCAATGGGTTTGATGAACCATGATGGCGGTACAAATGAGATAAAAGAGTATCTCACGACCGCATCCTCCCATGCCCAGCTCATACCTTATAGTACGCCACCGGACCCGAACCACCTTTCTCCTGCTCCTCGTCCTCCTCATCCCCATCATCCCCCTCCTCCCCTCCTATCTCCGCCACCCCTTCCCTACCCTCCCCCTGCGAAAGCTTCAGATCCATCAGAGGCGGGCCGAGGGGGCGAGTGGGGGAGGAGGCGAGCAGTTGCCAGGCAAGGAGAAAGAAGAGCGTGGGGAGGATGAAGGACGGGTAGAACAGTGCGAAAGCGTACGCCACGTGCACGGCGAGCGTGAGAGGAAGGCTCTCCCACGACCGCACGGCCTTGAACCCAGCAGCCATGGCAGAGAACCGCGCCCGCAGCATTTTGATCCGCTGCAGGTTGGCTTTAAGTCGCCGCACTGACAGCACGTCCTCATCGCACTCCCCCATGTACTGCACCACCTCGGCTCGCAGCGGCGGGTCGAATGCTCCCAGCTGCGCACACAGCAGGCCCACAGCCTCCTGTAAGAGTGCTGGTTCTTGGGATTCGGGGATGGGGAAGTGGTAATGCGCGGGGGGGAGCGTGGGGCGGATGTAGGTGGCGGCGAGGCGGGAGAGGGGGATGGCGGGGGAGAGGCGCAGCGCGAGGTGCAGTTGGCCCAGCTGCTTCACGCCCTTCTTGGTGAGGCACAGCAGCGGCTGGTGCGAGGAGAGGGCGCGCGTGGAGTCGATGGCGCTGAGGCGCATGCGTATGCGGCCCAGAGGGGTGTCTGTTGACGTGGTCACTCCCCTGTTGTGCCTGGTGGGGGGTGGGTGCGGTGGGGGAAGTAGGGGATGGGGGATGGGCAGATGAGACGGGGAAGAGGGAAATATGAGTGGTTGTGCGTGAGATGGGGAAGTGGAGAACGGGAAGAAGTGGGGTTTCTGGATTGCAAGACACGGCATGAGGGGAAGGGGAGGGAGCAGTGATGGCACATCGTGGGCACACACACACTTACTTGTTTTCAAACACACCGATGGTGACAACGGTGCAGAAGTCATAAACAGGCCAGTTAAACTGCTCACGCCACACAGGGTTGACCTCCCCGCTGACAGTCCTGGTGCGCGCCCACATGCCGCCATACCGCACCACCACGTACACATCCATCCCCGCACTCCCCAGCGAGCTCGGCACTGGCCGCTGCAGATTCTTCGCGGATATGATCCCGATCTCGAGGCGCGCGATGGGCGGCGGGTAGAGGGAGCGGGCGGCGGGGAGCGGGGAGGAATGGAAGCGAGGGTGTTGGGTGAATACGTGGTGGCCGCCTTCCAGGGCGAGGAGGAGGGAGAGGAGGGGGGTGGGGGAGGACGAGGAGGAGGGAGGGGAGGAGGAGTGGAATAGGGAGGAGGTGGAGAGGGAGGATGCGATAGTGGGGGCTGGGGATGGTTTAGAGGGAGATTCGAGGGAGTCGTAAGAGGAGGTGCGGTTTGCAGTGGTGATGGCTGCAGGAGTGGCAGAGGCGGTGGTTTGGAGAGCGATGGAGATGGGTTCGAGGGGGTCGAGGGTGATGCGGGCGGGGATGGAGGAGATGAGCACGCCTGCTGATGCCACCACCTCCTCCTGCCGCGGGGACGTGCAGGGAGGGGTGTGGGGGGGTGAGGCGGGGTGTTGAGGGGTTCTGAGGAGGAATGTGGTGAGTAGGGGGAGACGAAAGGGTGCGTGGGAGAAGAACAGGGTGATCAGCCTGTTTTTCTCACAACTGGTGTGGTTTCTCTCAACAAGGTGAGGTGGCAGGGGCAATCTGCCCTTGCCCTTGCAGGTGACCTTTGAGCTGCTCTGACCTTGATGGGTGGACAGTGGGCTCACAACTTACCCAGGAGGGAGAGATGACATTCACGATCTGCACGTGCAGGTGCCCATTCAGCGGCTCTGCCACCACCAGCACCTGCTCATCGCCCTCGCCCCACACCCACACGCCCTCCTCCCGCCCCTCCTCCCCTCCTGCACCCCCATCTGCACCTGTCCTCTCCCCTGGGCCTTGCCCTGTCCCGTGCTGTGCGCCCTGCCCCGTGCCCTGCTCTGCGCCCTGCCCTGCGCCTGTCTTGGCCGCATCTGCTGCGGCCCTGCGGAGGGGGAAGACGGGGGGCATGCGCATGCTGCCGCCTATGTTGCGCAGGCTGCCCCCAAGGCTCCGCATGCTGCCCATAGCACTGCCCACGTTGCCAATAGCGCTGCTCACATTGCCCATGGCGTTGCTCACGTTGCCCATGGCGTTGCTCACGTTGCCCATGGCGTTGCTAACGTTGCCCATGGCGTTGCTCACATTGCCCATGGCGTTGCTCACGTTGACCTGCCTGTTCTGCAACCGCTGCCCAAGCCGCTGCCTCAGGCCACCTGAACTTGCCTCTTCGCTTGTGCCCGAGCCTGCGCCCATGCTTGAGCCCGTGCCTTTGCCCGTGCCTGTGCCCGTGCCTGTGCCTGTTCGTGGGCTGGCCGGCACGTCTGTCCCTGTGCCCGTGACAGCAGGAATGCCAGTGCCTGTGCGTGGGCTAGCTATCGCACCCGCCGCTGTTCCCTTGGGTGGACTGCTCCTCTCCTTCCCCCCACCACCGCTACCCTCATCTCCACCCACTCCCCCCTCCTCCTCCCGCCTCCCCTCCTCACCCTCCTCGCCCTCCTCCCCCTCGTCATCCTCATCCTCATCGTCGCTACAGCCGCTCGCTTTGCGGTCGCTCACCCCGCCGCCCGCATCGCTTTCGCCGGGCAGCGATGGAGTGCGGTGGGTGGCGGGGCCTGTCTGCACCTGCATGCCGCAGGGCACTCGTAGCCGCACCACCTGATTGGTGGGAGGGAGCAGGGATGATGGGTGGGGGAAAGAAGGGGATTGGAACGACATAGGCTCTGATCCAGAGAGTGACCATCACATGAGATGAGAGCACAGAGGGAGCGCATGAGAGCACATGCGGGCACAAGCTGTTAGATGAGGCATATCAGCTTGAGAGGGAAAACAGAGGCAGAGGCGTGGAGAGGGGTACTAAAAGCATACCAGAGGCGTGGAGAGGGGTACCAGAGGCATACCAGAGGCGTGGCCTTTTAGACGTCTCAGAACTCACAAGGTTGGGTGCAACACGCGGCACAGGGAGGTGCTCCAGCTTGCAGGGGTGTACGCGCAGGTACCAGAGGCGTGGAGAGGGGTAGGTGCGCGAGCGGTGGTGCGCCACACCCTTCACGTCCGACTGCCAGGCCTCTGCAAACTGCTCGTCCGCCCTCACTCCTATCCACACCGCCACTTGCAGCTCGCCTGCAAGGCAGGGGTGGGGTGGGGTGGGATGGTTGGAGGACAAGGGAGGCAGAGGGGTTGAGTGTGAAGAAGAAGCGGACGCGAGCTGAACGCTGTGAGTGCCTGTGGTCACTTCCACCTGAGCTTTGCCTGGGGTCGAGGACGGGGAGACGAGGGGAGGGAGAGGGGGGAAGAGTTTGTGACGAGAGGGAATGCATGGGGAAGTGGGGTGGGAGGGATTGTGAAGGGAGGAATGAGATGGAGGGATGGGATTGAGGAGCATGGAGGGACGGGTGTGAATTGTGAAAGGGACCAGCAGCATGCACTAGCGGTTATGATTTGCACTAGATTAGCACGCATCAGCAGCCCTACCTTTGACGGTGCTGCGAGCAGCGCTGGCAGGGGCGCTGGCAGCTTTCTTGTCGAGGCGAATCCAGCGCGGGTCAACAGGGGGCGCAGGGGGAACGCGGTGTGGGAGAGAGGTAACTGGCAGCGAGATGGCTCCCAAAAAGGAGTCCCGCATGAGACGGTTCTGATTGATGGGCGATGGGGTAGAAGGGGTGGGAGTGGAGGGAAAAAGGGGGAAAAGAGGAGCGGAGAGGAGATGGATGGGAAGGAGTGGGAGAGCGGTGGGGGAATACAGGCAAAGTTTTGAAACGGGTGCATGAGAGGATTGTAAGTGCGAAGAGAGAGAGAGTGGTTGCATAGTGATAATGCCAGGGGTGTGAAGCTCGCTCATTTGCACATGTGCAGTCTTCTTGCTCTAGGGCACGCACACACACACACTCTCCTTGTTTAAGCAGTCACACACACACACACACACACACACACACACACACACACACACACACACACACACACACACACACACACACACCTCGTTCTTGAGCACAATCTCAAGCACAGAGGAGGGATTGGCGAGAGAGAAGGTCGTGGCGGACTGGCCGATGGCAAAGACCTGCAGGGAGGAAAGGAGCCGGGAAGGACGTAGCGGGTGAATGGGGAGAGGTGCAAGGAGTTGGGGGAGGCATATGGAGATGCAGGAAGGGGGAGCAGTGGCAAAGAGCGAAGAGCTGGTTCCACTTGGGGTTGATGTCATTTGCGCTGCTGCGGGCTTTCTGCTACGGGCTTTCCCGTGCGGGCTTTCTGCAGCAGCGCAAATGACGTCACGGGGCCTTCCCGTGCGGGCTTTCCCCATGCGGGTGAGACCGTTTTTGAGGAGGCCAGGGGAGGGTGAGAGAGGCAGGAGAGAGTGAAGAGATGGTGACCTGGTTCCACTTGGGGTTGACATCATCTGGTACGGTGCGCGTGCGTGCCGTGACCTTGCCCACCGTGACCATGGCGAACTGGCATGCACACGCACAGGGAGGGGGAGGGACGAGAGAGTGGGTGGTGAGAGGAAGATGCAAAGGCCGACTGAGAAGGGTGAGAGGGGGATTGCGGGGCAAGGGTGAAGAGCGAGAGTAAGAGGGAATGAAGACGGATTGGAGCGGAGGCACTGAGAAAAGTTCGGATCGCAGATGCATGCAGTGGTGCAGTACTAAATCGTATCATATCAGATCGTATCATATCCGATCGCATCAAGCAGCTTACTCACAGGGTCACTGGAGGCATTGAGATCGAGGCCTAGCAGTGAGCGCGCCTGCACCACTCGCACAAACAGAATCGGCTCCATTGCCAATAGCCCCTCCTCCTCCCCCTCCTCCTCCTCCTCTCCCTCCTCTTCTCCCTCCCCCTCCCCTTCCCCCTCCCGCTCTCCCTTTCCTTCATCTGCCTCCTTGTCGCCTCCCCCCCTAATCCCTAGCCCCTCGCCCTTTGCCCCCGCTTTCTCAGCAGGCACAGTGGCATGGGGCAGTGCTTTGGGGGGGGCGGAGGCAGGGGGAAGCAGCGGGGAGAGGGCGGTGGAGGAGGGTGAAACAGGCTGAGGGGGAGGCTCGCCAGAAGAAACGATGGTGGCGAGAGGGGAGGAGGTATAGAGAGAGGGGAACGTGGGGAGAATGGGGAGAGTGGGGAGGGTGGGGAGAGTGGGGAGTGTGGGGGGAGCGGTGGGAAGGGGGAGAGAGGTGGGAGGCGAGGAGGAATGCGAGGCAGCATTGCGGCTGCTGTGCCGGGAGAGCTGGTGGGACAGGGCTGTGGGCAGGTTTTCATCGTCGGAAAAAGATGACCTGGACGCGGACGGCGGGAGGTGCCACCTGTCGGCCTCGCATTGGTCGAACTCGTCCAGGCAGTCAGGGTTGATGGACGAGGCTGGCACGTCCTGGTAGGACACTGCCATGCTGGGGGTTGGCGGGGGAGCGTGGAGCATGGGGTGTGGGGGTGGACCGAGAGGGAAGGGGGGGGGGGGGGAGGGGGGGGGGATGGATCAGGGGATTGGGAGGAGCATGGGGGAGGGAGATGGATGAGGCTGGCACGTGGTGGTAGGACACGGGCAGGGTGGGAGGGGAGGGAGGGGCAATGGCGCATGGGGTGGGGGGAGGGGCAATGGCGCATGGGGTGGGGGGAGGGGCAATGGCGCATGGGGTGGGGGGAGGGGCAATGGCGCATGGGGTGGGGGGAGGGGCAATGGCGCATGGGGTGGGGGGAGGGGCAATGGCGCATGGGGTGGGGGGAGGGGCAATGGCGCATGGGGTGGGGGGAGGGGCAATGGCGCATGGGGTGGGGGGAGGGGCAATGGCGCATGGGGTGGGGGGAGGGGCACGAGAGGATGTGCGGGCGAAGCAGAGAGTGGTGAGCGGATTGCATTCAGCCTTTGCCCTTCCCCCCATCCCACCCCCTGCTCCATCCTCCCTCCTTCCCCCCCCCTCATCTCACCCAGTTCGCCCTGCGCATTCAACCTCCCCTTCCCTCAACCCCCTCCCCTCCATCCCCCACCCCCCCCTCCCTCCCCTCCCCTCCCCCCATCTCACCCCACGTCGCCCCGCATGCGGTTGACAAGGGAGCGGCGCTCAAGAGGCAGCCAGGCGAGGGGTGCAGAGGGGTGGAGAGGGATGCCTGGCGTGGGGGCATGTATGCGGACGGGCACCTGGAGGGGCAGTGGGGCGTGGAGACGGGGAGAGGGGATAGCAGAGGGATGGGGGGAGGGGCATGGGCAGAGATAGGAAGGAAATGCTGGGGATGGGGACGGACGAGGGGAAGAGGACGCTCACAGGTGCTCCACGCTGCACACCCTGCCTCCACACCCCCCTCCTCACCTGCACGCTCTCCTCTCGCCCCTCCCTAGACTTCATACACCTGTTGCAACATAACCCCTCCCCTCTACCCCCCTTTCGGCATGGAGGTTCTTCCCGCCTCTTTCTCCCCGGAAGGAGCACAAGACCGGAGAGAACACCAGCTCAAGAGAGCAGCAGCTCAAGAGAGCACCAGCTCAAGAGAGCACCAGCTCAAGAGAGCACCAGCTCAAGAGAGCAGCAGCTCCTCTCTCTCTTCCCTCCTTTATCCTCTGCTTTCCGCATACACGGGCGTCCCGCACACCAAGATTCACACTGCCTGTCCCCGCTATCCACAATCTTCCCAGGCCCCCTCCTCTGCGTCCTACTGTTCTAATCTGCTGAGTTCTCATCGCAACATCATTATCCACCCCTCATCTCCACCATCCCCAAGCGTCCACCGCTCACCTGCACCTTCCCCAGGAACACGCTTCTCTCCGGATCGCCTGCCAGCCCGCCACTAGGGGCGGAGCCCAGCACCGGGCGGCGAAAGCTGGCCGAGATACTGCCGGCTGCAACGAGAGGGGCGGAGGCGGAGGAGAGGGTGTAGATGGTGACGTGGACCGGCTCTTGGTGGTCGGCCAGTGAGGGGTTGAGGGGTGACGGCAGGGGGACTGCAAACACGAACTGGATTTGGGGTGAGGAAGAGGAGGGGAGCGAGGGGAGAGAGGAATTAGAGAAGAACATGGAGAGGATAACGACTGGGAAGGTATTCATGGGTTCAACCGTTTTCCGCCCAGCAAGCTAGATGTTCACTCAAAGTTCTATCAAACATTAATGTATTATTGGGTGGGTCACTCAAATGGTGAATGCAACGAGTTACGTGACTTGTGAGGACAGTAAGTGGAGGAGCAATAAGGGCAATAACCCGAGTGTGTGAGCATTCATCTCCCCTATCGCACCTTTTCATCCCACACGGGGTTGAGGTCCCTCTCCACTGTGTGCGTGCGCTTCGTGTGACCGTTGAACTCCACCTGCCACCCACCATCATGCCATGCGATGTCATGCCATGCCATGCCATTCCATGCCACGTAATGCCGTGCCATGCCATGCCATTCCATGCCATGTAATGCCGTGCCATGACAAGCCATGAAAATCCGTGCCATGCCGTGCCTTGCGCCGTACCATGCCATACCATGCCATCACACGACATGAACAGGGTATAGACAGTGAATACGCGACCACTGACGCGTCATGTGGTAAGCTCCATGCAAGCAGTTGAAGGATCGTCAGCCGCAGCGGCAACGCAGTTGGCACGCACGACGCAGAAGGGACTGGAGGAGGCGCCGTCCTTTGGCAGAAGCTTCCGCGCGCCTGCGATCTCCACGTGCACTAACCGCACCCATCCCGAGCCGGCCGCCTCGGGAGACTCGGAGGCTGACGGCGGGGAATTCGCGACGTCTGGTGCTGGCTGCACGGCAGAGGGAGGACTCGTCGACGCGTCTTTCTCCCTCTCCGCCATGACTCCGATGGGAGCGGGAACTTGCGGCTAGTAGGTCCTAGTAATAGCGTCAAAGCGGCCGTCTTTACATATAAGAATGGTAGTTGCAATGTAGGCGATACCAGAAGGATGTCGACCAATAACGCAATGGCCGATGGTGCTGTGGTGGCCTAGGAGAACGGAGATTCAGTCCAATGGAGCATGCAGCACGTCGGTCACATGCGATGCGAGGTCGCGAATAGCGTGGGGAGTGTGGTAATAAACTATTTACTCCGGAGGACTACGTGGAGTTACGAGGAAGCTCAACACGAACATTGAGAAGGGCAATGCCTGAAGTAGCAGCAACCATGGGTTGAGTTGAGAAATTCGAGTTGCCTGAATCCGTCGGTATTCTCGAGATGTAGCAGATTGTCTAGGGAATATTCGTTGGGGGACTGTGGCGGGTCTGACTGAACTCTGGGTACAGTTCAATTATATTCGTAGCCGAGTTTCTCTACAGTGCTCACTTTATCCAGCAAACGATTTCTTCCCCTAACTATTTCTCAATTAGGAGTTTTCTAATAAGTGCAAGTGACATGAGTGCCAAGAAAAACTGAAGCGTATATAGAACAATAAGGGTGTCAATGTCATTCTACCATAGTACTACTAACAGCAGAAACGAAACAGCTACGCAAAAAAGCGACACAAGGATTTTTGGAACTTTATAAACATAATTTATTCCCTTGGCAACTCATCACATCCTTGGAAGCCGAAGCAGGTTCTTGCTCACAGCAGTAGGGCAAGCAGGACCAAGTAGTGCCACCACTCCATCCCTTCCAGATCCCTTCACATGAGCCGCACAGACAAAGACAGACGATGTAATCTGTGCCTTCACCACCCCATGCACTGACATCCTCTTACTCGCCCGCCTCTGCTCCACCTCTACAAACTCCAGGCACACCTCCTCTAGCAGCTCCTCCAGCAGCATCCCTTCCACATCAAACACAACACCCGGCTCCTCCTCCGCCACATCCTGTGCACGCCACCTCTCCGTGCCCCTCCACAAATCACGCCTTGCTGACTCATCCAGCACCGTGTACACCTCATCAGTGGACGCCACGGGCCATGAGTGAATCTCCGACCACACCTCCTGCACCAGCTCCATGCCCACAGGCCGCCTCCGCGGCGCCACTTGCGCGGGCTCGGGGGACCACGGCGCGCGCGGGAGGAAAGGCGCGAGGCGGCGGCCGAGAGCCTCGTTGACGGCGTCAAAGAGCAGCATGCGCTGCCGGCGCTCCTCGTGGTATGACGCGGGTATGGCGAGAGGGAGGGAGGGCAGGCTGGCAGTCAGGTGAGACGGGTCGTGCGTGGCGTGCGCGCAGCAGCGCATGAGGAAGGCGGCTTCGAGGTGCTGGAAGAAGGCGGGGTTGATGGGGAGGTACGGGGAGAAGAGGGGGGGAAGGGCGTCGGAGAGGAAGCCGGCGGCGAGCATGGCGTGCCGCACGTACTGCACGTCCTGCTCCATGCCGCGCACGTCGCCTATCAGCTCCGCCCACGGCATGTCCGCGTCCTCCGCGGATCCCGCGGAGGATGGGGAGGGTGAGGGGAAGGTGAGCGGGAGGGGGAGGAGGCTGGGCGGGAGGGTGAAGCTGGTTTGGCTGATGGACTGGTTACCAGTTGGCTGGGTGACCAGAGGCAGTTGATCAGGATGAGGTGGAGGAGGAGTCGGGTGTTGGTGGGAAGGCGTGTGTTGCGCGCGGGGTGCAGTGCGGATTGCCGGGTGGTGCGCAGACCCATCCTCCGCACTACTCTGATCGCATCCACGCGGGCCTTTCGCAGCTACCCGCCTTCCACTCCTCCTCGACCCTCGCGACGGCTCTGTGTGAGGGGTTGCCTCTTGCTCCTCACCACGCTTCTTCGTCCTCTGCTCCGCGCTCACGCCCCTCCCACCGTTCCCCACTCCGATTGTCCCTACTACCCGCTTTTCGTTCTTCCCCTTACCGCTCACTGATCCCCCCGCACTGTGTTCCCGCAGCCCCTTTCCCCCGTCCGGTGCGCCATGCGCGGGGATTCGTCCGCCGCTACCACTAGGCGGACCTTTCCCGTCCGCCAGGCGCTGTCGGGGCTTCACTTCCCCCGCCACAACGCGGCTCTGCGCAACGTTCCCCGCAGATCCTGCAACCAGCGGCTTCCTGTCCGCAGCCAGCGCACTGCGGGACACGGGCAGAGCCGCAGCCCCCCCTCGAGATCCCACCCTCCCGCCACGTGGCACATGTGGAGTGGCAGAGGCGCCACCAGCACCCGTCTTGGGATCTCCGGCGCCCACCACCCCCAGCCCCTGTCGGTGCTTGGCCAGCTTCAGCGCCAGATTCTCACTCGCGTCTGACAGTCGCCGCCCCTGTCCGCGCTGCCCGCCTTTTGCCGCGTTTTGTGCTGCTTTTTCCACAGAAACCTTTCCGCGCGGTGGGCTACAAACCGGCGCATGTACACGCTCGTTTAAGTCTGTGGGTGTTCCGCGGGCCGCTCCTGCTGCTGTCGCGCCAGCTTTGGTCCTCCGCGGCTGCGATGAGGTGCTGAACGGTTCGCGCCCCACCGTCCCACCGTCCTCCGCCGCGCGCCGATGGTTGAGAGAGCGCGACTTGGCCTGCGACGATTGCGTGGGGGCCAGCAGGCGGCTGCTAACGCGCGACACTGTCGCCGACTTGCACGCGCGCTCCAGGCTCAAATGCCCATCCGATAGCCGTCCGATCGAAAGGTTCGTGCCCGCGCCTGCGAAGCTCCGCCTGCGGCTGGGGAGGCGGTCACCGTACTGCGCGCCGAAGACCGCGTCGCCACCGGAATCCGAAGGGCTCTCCCAGCCCGTGTCGTCGGGCGCGCCGTCGCAGCTGAAGCGCGAACTGTCGCAGCTGAAAGTGCCCGACAGCGATAGCGACATGGATAGAGGCGACACGGAGCTAGACGCCGCATCGTGCTCTGCGTGGATAGATTTCAAAACTGTCTTAGATGGAGACGACGTTAGCACGTCATATTCGGATACGCTCTCCTGTAGTATACGTCCACTGCCTACCGCCATTGTGATGGAAAACGTGCCAAGGGGGTTGCAGAAGGCGCATGTCAAACGGCCAATCTACACTAAACGTGATCCTGAAAGTGCCAAATCTTGGAGTCTCCGAAGTGCTGGATGAACAAAAGGGATTGCAAATGCGTCACGCGAACGGGTTCTCTATGTCATCACAATGGGAAACTGAAACCGACAACGGGATGAGGAAGGGGATTCGAAGGGTTTGGGGGTGGGGGGGAGTGTATGGGGTGGACCGTGTTGGTGGGTGGGACTGGGGATTTGGGGAGGCAACGGGAGGAAATGAAGAGGACCGAACATTTGGAACGGTCATTTTGCAAAGACGCGGCTTGACTCTGCTTTTGCCCATTTCCCCGTTCCCGACGGCGGCGCGAATGCTGGAGTCTCAAATTGGGGCAATCCTGAAAAATATGTAGAACACCAACTATGCTCCAACGAAATAAACCATTTTAGCAATATGCACTTATGGCGATTGTTTTGGTCACATATCTGTCAGAGATACTTCCAGAAAGCATAATATACAATTTATTCAGTGGGAATCTACTTAAGAACATTTCATAACGTGAGAAAACATATTACACTTTCATTCAAATGATACAAAGTATGAAGCATATATTATAGCAATAAACCTGAAACAGGGCTGAAATCGCTTATAACTTGACTACCTTTACAACATCCAGCCTCAGGCTTTCAACAACAGCGAAGCGCGCGAGGTTTGATGGGGGGCCATGGTTTCTGAAGAACGACTGCACCAGCGACGCAATCCTACTGGTTGCGAGATGCAGTTACTGAAGCTTGCGAGAACCACTATCTTGCACACTTTCGATGACACGAACCAGAATTGCCTGGTCTCCTTGATATCATCCCACCCTGACAGATGCTCAGGTAATTACATAGGAATGGAGATAGCATTATCCCCTACATTGTCAGTCTAGGGCCCGACTGGTTCGTGAAGAAGGCATTAGCATTGCTGGCGTAACTTTGCCAATGGCTCATGGGTTCACGGTTACGGCCGTTCTAGCAATTTTACTGGTGTGCATTCCTCTTTCACTGGCCAATGATCCTCCAAGCGGGCAACCCTCGGGATTGCCGCAGCAGTCCCAAGCCGTCCCGGGCTCACAGCTTAGAAATAATGCAACCTCGCCGTCATCTGTCGATCAGCAACCGTCCAACCAGGCTCCATCACGAGCGTCGCCGCCAGTGCAGGCCGAATTGTTCGCACATTCGCCGGCTGAATCCCCGCCGTCCTTGAATGATCGACAATCTGCCAGCACTGCAAACGCGCCGGCATCCCAGCCATCCGCGGAGCCACCGGCGCAGCAGCTTCCGCAGCTGTCGTCTCCCCCACAGGCTCCGCCTGCTGGAAGCCGGACAGAGCCGAGCAGTGATGCGCGGAATAACGCTCCCGCTGCGCCTGCTTTTCCGGAAGCTGCGCCTCCGCTTTCCCCTGCAGGGGGAGAAACCGTGAGCGGAGCGCCGGCGCAAGAGAAGGGGGGCGCGGAAGCGTCGCGCGAGGAGGCGGAGCAGCTGTCGACGACATGCGGGCTGACGGACTACATCAGACAGTCCGGCGCATGTGACAGTGAGCAGCGTTCCACTAACGAGAGGCTGGCTTGTGTTGGGCTCGCGAGATGTGGCTGGTGTGCTCGGTTGTAACCAGCATGATGTCTGTGTGCCCCCTCTCCCTATCCATCCACACATATCCAATTCGCTGTTACCACTCGCTGCTTCTTCAGCATGTTTAAGTCGAATTCAAACACACAAAGCTCACCATCACCCTAACTGTATCCGCCTCCCCCCCATAAACTCTTAGCGGCTGTCCCCTCCTCCGCCTTCCCCTTCCTCTCCGCCTCCCTCTCCCCCCGTACCTTGCCGTGCGGAGTGCAGGCAAGGGGCGGCGCACAGTGTCGTTTGTGAAGGCGCGCAACTGCACCGATCCGTTCCCCGTCCAGCCCTCGCAGCAGGAGCCGTGCAGTGAGTGTAGCAGAAGAGCGTGGTGGTGTGAATGACGCCATGTGGACAGACAAAGTCAAGGCACGGTGGCCTCAACCCATCCATCCATTTTCGGGCTTCTTGCTAAACCATCCCCATCTCCCTCGTTTCTTGCTTATCAACCCACATCGCCCCCATCGCATGCTGATCCACCCATCGCCCCGTGTGCCCCTGCCCGGCAGCATGCACGCCGGAGGACTTTGATGTCGTCTACACGGCCTCGCGTGATGGTGCCACGTGCAACATGCAGTACCTGCCACGCAGTGAGTCTGCTCTGCACACACTGTCAACGCACACCTCTCAGCCTGTGTGTCTGACACCCTCCTCCTGCTCCTCTCCTCCTTACCTCCTACCAAGGTAAACCTCTTGTTCCTCTTTTTTCTCATCCCTCTCTCCCTCCCCTGCCATCCGCACTTGCTGCATGGCCAGACTGCACGGGAGCACAGCAGTCACAGCTCATCCCAGTGGACAAGGTCTACTGCGGTCAGTGTGCTCCTCCTCCTCTCCTCCTCTCCTCTCCTCCACTCCCGCCCCACCTTCCTCACCTCTCTGCCTCGTCTTGACAAGCGGTTTCTCGCCATCTCTGCCACAACACAATCTTCATGCGTGTCACACCACCACTATCATTCAAGCGCTACTCGCACGTACTCACATGCAGTGACTGCCATGCACCACCCACATCCCATGCCATGCCATGCCATGCCATGCCATACAGGGCTACCGAATGCGCCATGCACAGAGGCGCACGTGGACGCCATCTACTCCGACTGTGACTTCATCCGTGACTCCCTCACTGGCCTCAACATCTCTGCCACGCGTTTCGTTGAGGTACGCCCTGGGGGAGGTGCGCCCTGGGGGAGGTGCACCCTGGGGGAGGTGCGACCTGGGGGAGGTGCACCCTGGGGGAGGTGCACCCTGGGGGAGGTGCACCCTGGGGGAGGTGCACCCTGGGGGAGGTGCACCCTGGGGGAGGTGCACCCTGGGGGAGGTGCACCCTGGGCTGCTCCCTTCCTCCCGTGTGCTCGTCCCTGCTCGCTCTATCCGTACTGCACTCCGCTCATTCACATTCCCCTCCCACCAAGTCTCATGCCTCACTCATTCCCCTTCGTACATGCACCACGTGTCCCCTTGTTCCCTCCTTCCACTCTCCCTCCCCTGTGTACTCCGAATCAGGTGATCTATTTCTTCCGCCAGGAGTGCGACCCCTACAGACGAGGCTCCATTCACCTGCCCCCCACCACCTTCATTCCCTGCGGTACAGACAGCCCACTCCACACTCTTATACCCCCACTCGCTCGCACGCCCACCCCAGTCCTGCCCTCGCCTCACCTATGCTGACGCTTTGCCAAATTACCACCCACCCAACCCCAAGCGGCCGTGCAACAGCCTCACTCGCCTCATCACCACCAGTTGCCACACTCTGTCGGCCGCTGTTGATTGCCTCACCGTGCCAGATATGGCCAAAGTTGCATCAGAATGCTCGTGCGTGCGCCCACTCTCCCCTCTTCCCCAAGCACCCCCTTGTTACTCTCCCCTCACTCCCACCCCCTCCCCCTCTCCCCCGCACACCCGGCAGACATGCAGTGCGGGGCGGGGCACTACCTGCACCACGACCACTGCCACAAGTGCCCTGCAGGTGCGAACTCGAACTCGCTTCTCCTGGTGGTGACAGGGGATCGGGGGCGAGGAAAGGCAGGACGGCAGGGACCTTGCAGGTGGGGGCTCAGGGAAGGGAACGAAACAGAGAGAGGCGAGCATCTGGGGTGACTGGCGGGCTCCAGTCAGAGCACACGGGGTGAGGGGCGAGGTGAAGGGAGGGAGGGGGAAGCCATAGCAGGAAACGGTGGTGTCATGTGAGTTGGTCTGGTAGAAATATGAAGCTGCTGGTTTGCTTGCTCTCTCTCGCGTGCCACACACCCCTTCCACCTTCCCTGTGTCTACCACACCAGGCACGTACAGCATGGGGGGGAAGTGGCGGTTCCAAGACATATCTGAGATCGACCCCCTCTACTTCAAGGTGCGCACCGCCATGGATGCATGGCATGGCATGGCATGAGGGGAGCACACACGCATGACATGTAGAATGGCTGATACCACCATCATGCTGTCCGTGTGCACACACACGCTATATACCCATTCACACAGTTCATTCTCGTGTGTACATGACTGGGCCTCATAGGAATCAGTCCATCTCTGTCTAGCCCTCAGCTGTGCACGCGTCTGCCATTCCCTCCTGCCCCCATCCCCGCCCCCGCCCCCCAGACGGAGTGCAGGTTCACCAACGCCTCTGGCACCTTCCACTGCGACCCGTACGTTGCCCCTCTGCCCTCACTGCCCCCCACCACCCTTGCTGTCCCTGTGCTCCCACCCCGCCCATGCCACCATACATTCTCTCCTCCGCTCCACCGTTCCTTGTTGTCTTGCTCCTCCCTCACTTGTTTCACCACCTGCTGCACTTAACCTACCAGATGTCTTCATCCCCGCCCGCCCTTACTGCCCACACAACCTCCGCACCCTCTGTGCCCCTGTGCACCCCTGTGCACCCCTGTGCGCCTCTGTGCACTCCTCCCCTGTCTCATCGCATCCACTCTCGCCTCTGTGTGTGGCTGCATGTCCCCCCCACTGACTGCACAGCTGGTACGCGGATGATGGTGCGTTTGAGGCGGGTGCATACGACTACATCAACGACTGGCTCCCGGTGAGACTCCCCCCAGTGGTCCTCTGCTGAACTACCCGCCACCTGCACACACGTCCTGCCTACTCTCTCGTTCACGGTTTCTCTCCTCCCCTCCCGACCCCCTCCATGCACTCTGCCCCCACATCTACTCGACAACTCCATTGACCCCCAACCTTGTTGACTTCCAACCCTGTTGAACCGCCAATCCTGCGTGACCCGGCATGAGCAGGAGGTGTGTGCATCGGACCCGGCGTACAACTGCCACAACAACCTGCTCTCATCACTCTCCCTCGACGTGCACCTCGTGCGAGACGGGTGAGGCAGAAGCACGGCTGCAAGGCACGTTGCAGGAGTTGCGAGGAGTTGCAGGGGATGCTCCACAAGGAGGGCAAGAGGGTGGGTATAGTTGGGAGTAACGCAAAGCGGATGGCATGTCAGTGAATGCTGTATCCACCATTCCTCTGCTCGCCTACTTTTCACCCTTCTTCTTCCCTCCGCCCCCCACCCGCTCCTCCCGCCCTGTGCAGGTACGTGAGGTTCAACTTCACAGGGAGTGCAAAGATGGGGCACGGTAAAGTAGCTACATCTCACCACCCGTTTGTATCTCTAACCGCCCCTCCACTCTCCCTCCCTCCCGTCACCCTGCCCCCTCTCATCCCTCCCGCCCCCCGCGCAGGTACGTGAAGTTCAACTTCACAGTGAGTGCAGAGGTGGGGCACGGTAAAATAGGTAAATGTTATGACTCATCCCTGCACCCCCTCATCTCTCCCCACCTGCGCCCTGCACAGGTACGTGAAGTTCAACTTCACAGTGAGTGCAGAGGTGGGGCACGGTAAAATAGGTAAATGTTATGACTCATCCCTGCACCCCCTCATCTCTCCCCACCTGCGCCCTGCACAGGTACGTGAAGTTCAACTTCACAGTGAGTGCAGAGGTGGGGCACGGTAAAATAGGTAAATGTTATGACTCATCCCTGCACCCCTCATCTCTCCCCACCTGCGCCCTGCACAGGTACGTGAAGTTCAACTTCACAGTGAGTGCAGAGGTGGGGCACGGTAAAATAGGCAAATGTTATGACTCATCCCTGCACCCCCTCATCTCTCCCCACCTGCGCCCTGCACAGGTACGTGAAGTTCAACTTCACAGTGAGTGCAGAGGTGGGGCACGGTAAAATAGGTAAATGTTATGACTCATCCCTGCACCCCCTCATCTCTCCCCACCTGCGCCCTGCACAGGTACGTGAAGTTCAACTTCACAGTGAGTGCAGAGGTGGGGCACGGTAAAATAGGTAAATGTTATGACTCATCCCTGCACCCCCTCATCTCTCCCCACCTGCGCCCTGCACAGGTACGTGAAGTTCAACTTCACAGTGAGTGCAGAGGTGGGGCACGGTAAAATAGGTAAATGTTATGACTCATCCCTGCACCCCCTCATCTCTCCCCACCTGCGCCCTGCACAGGTACGTGAAGTTCAACTTCACAGTGAGTGCAGAGGTGGGGCACGGTAAAATAGGTAAATGTTATGACTCATCCCTGCACCCCCTCATCTCTCCCCACCTGCGCCCTGCACAGGTACGTGAAGTTCAACTTCACAGTGAGTGCAGAGGTGGGGCACGGTAAAATAGGTAAATGTTATGACTCATCCCTGCAACCCCTCATCTCTCCCCACCTGCCCCCTGCACAGGTACGTGAAGTTCAACTTCACAGTGAGTGCAGAGGTGGGGCATGGTAAAATAGGTAAATGTTATGACTCATCCCTGCACCCCCTCATCTCTCCCCACCTGCGCCCTGCACAGGTACGTGAAGTTCAACTTCACAGTGAGTGCAGAGGTGGGGCACGGTAAAATAGGTAAATGTTATGACTCATCCCTGCACCCCCTCATCTCTCCCCACCTGCGCCCTGCACAGGTACGTGAAGTTCAACTTCACAGTGAGTGCAGAGGTGGGGCACGGTAAAATAGGTAAATGTTATGACTCATCCCTGCACCCCCTCATCTCTCCCCACCTGCGCCCTGCACAGGTACGTGAAGTTCAAGTTCACAGTGAGTGCGGAGGTGGGGCACGGTAAAATAGGTAAATGTTATGACTCATCCCTGCACCCCCTCATCTCTCCCCACCTGCGCCCTGCACAGGTACGTGAAGTTCAAGTTCACAGTGAGTGCGGAGGTGGGGCACGGTAAAATAGGTAAATGTTATGACTCATCCCTGCACCCCCTCATCTCTCCCCACCTGCGCCCTGCACAGGTACGTGAAGTTCAACTTCACAGTGAGTGCAGAGGTGGGGCACGGTAAAATAGGTAAATGTTATGACTCATCCCTGCACCCCCTCATCTCTCCCCACCTGCGCCCTGCACAGGTACGTGAAGTTCAACTTCACAGTGAGTGCAGAGGTGGGGCACGGTAAAATAGGTAAATGTTATGACTCATCCCTGCACCCCCTCATCTCTCCCCACCTGCGCCCTGCACAGGTACGTGAAGTTCAACTTCACAGTGAGTGCAGAGGTGGGGCACGGTAAAATAGGTAAATGTTATGACTCATCCCTGCACCCCCTCATCTCTCCCCACCTGCGCCCTGCACAGGTACGTGAAGTTCAAGTTCACAGTGAGTGCGGAGGTGGGGCACGGTAAAATAGGTAAATGTTATGACTCATCCCTGCACCCCCTCATCTCTCCCCACCTGCGCCCTGCACAGGTACGTGAAGTTCAACTTCACAGTGAGTGCGGAGGTGGGGCACGACGGGCTTGCCTTCTACATCGACTCTCTCTCACAGCCCCTCATGGCCCTCACCTCCTACCAGGTACCCCTCATGCCTGTACCTAGCCCACCCGCATCGCCTCCCTTCCACTTGTTGCCTCCCTCCCATCGCCGTCCATCGTGAGGCCTCAAGTGTGTGGCTCACGCCTCTGGCACACCCCATCCCTCTGACTGTGCGTGCGTGCGCCCCCCTGTGCATGGCACGGTGCGTGGTGGCAGTTTGAGCCGCGCGAGATGGTGTTCCCGGTGGAGGCGGGGCAGCACCGCCTGGTGTGGGTGTACAGCAAGGATGACAAGTGGAGCAAGGGGGAAGACATCGCCACCATCCCGGTCAGTTGAAGTGACTGGTGAATCGTCTCAGAAGGTGGCTTTTGGCAGGTTCTGAGTCGACTCAAACGCAGCACCGCCTGGTGTGGGTGTACAGCAAGGATGACAAGTGGAGCAAGGGGGAAGACATCGCCACCATTCCGGTCAGTCGCTATGCTTGCGGAAGACGCGTCTAGCGTCTTAGACGCGCCTGTCTAGACGCAGCGTCTAAGATGCTAGACGCTAGACAGTATAGATTAGACGCAGTATTAGACGGAAACCCGGGCAGGCCTAAAAAAAATTCGGGCAGACCAAAAAAAGTTCTATGGGGCATGGGGAGGGTGGGGGACATGCACCTATGTCACAATGAGGTGAAATATTCCCTGTACCATCATTTTTTCCCCATTCTAAGACTTCACAAAAATTTTCACATCTCATCATATATGATTGGGGGGGATTCAAATTTGGTTTGGTTGCTGGTTTATATGGTCGAAATGAGTGGGAAGGGGTTCTAATGGCGTGAAATTGATTTTCGCGTTGAAATGGCGAATTTCAATTTCGCGCGAGCGAATTTTGTATTTTCGGGCTGCCCGAAATTTATTCGCCCAAGCGTCTTGCGTCTGAAAGTGCGTCTTGCGTCTAGCGTCTTCCCCCCATCAGGTTCCCCATCAGGTTCGTCCCCATCAGGTTCGTCCCCATCAGGTTCGTCCCCATCAGGTTCGTCTCCATCAGGTTCGTCCCCATCAAGTTCGTCCCCATCAGGTTCGTCCCCATCAGGTTCGTCCCCATCAGGTTCGTCCCCATCAGGTTCGGCCCCATCAGGTTCGTCCCCATCAGGTTCGTCCCCATCAGGTTCGTCCCCATCAGGTTCGTCCCCATCAGGTTCGTCCCCATCAGGTTCGTCCCCATCAGGTTCGTCCCCATCAGGTTCGTCCCCATCAGGTTCGTCCCCATCAGGTTCGTCCCCATCAGGTTCGTCCCCATCAGGTTCGTCCCCATCAGGTTCGTCCCCATCAGGTTCGTCCCCATCAGGTTCGTCCCCATCAGGTTCGTCCCCATCAGGTTCGTCCCCATCAGGTTCGTCCCCATCAGGTTCGTCCCCATCAGGTTCGTCCCCATCAGGTTCGTCCCCATCAGGTTCGTCCCCATCAGGTTCGTCCCCATCAGGTTCGTCCCCATCAGGTTCGTCCCCATCAGGTTCGTCCCCATCAGGTTCGTCCCCATCAGGTTCCCCATCAGGTTCCCCATCAGGTTCCCCATCAGGTTCCCCATCAGGTTCCCCATCAGGTTCCGCATCAGGTTCCGCCCAAGCGTCTTGCGTCTAAAAGTGCATCCTGCGTCTAGCGTCTAGACGTTGCGTCTAGCGTCTTCCGCAACTCAGACCATCCCACAGGTCGTCACTTTGTGCCATTGCCATGGCATGCAAGCTCACATGCCGTTTTTATCCATGTCATCCGTGTGCCATGCTGTCTTGTCTCTGCACACACATACCACACTTCCCCTCCTCCTCCCCCTATCACCTCGTGGCAGTACATAGAGGTGGACGGAGTGGCTTTCAATGACTTCCTCTGCACGCCATGCCCCGCCGGCTTCTACAGGTCGCCACTCTCCCGCCCACCACTGCTTGAACCGCCCCGCCCACTCGCACTAGCCCTGCTGGCCCAAGCCCTGTAGACACTTGCACTGGCGCACATGATAGCACGTGTACGAGTCACTCCTTCCGTGGCGGATTGCCAATGCCTTTTCAATACTGCGAGCTTGCTTGAACGAATCTCTCCTCGTGCACCACCTGCAATGTTCTCCCCTCCTGCCTACTGCCCCCTGCTGCCATTCCTACCTCCCCTCCTCCCTGCCTTCCTCCCTTCCTTCCCCCCTCGCTGCCCCGCATCCTTCCGTCCACCCTTTTCTTCCCTTTCCCCTCTCCTCCTCTCCTTTCCGCCTCCTACCCTCATCCCCTCATTCCCTCATTCCTTTCCCCCCTCTCCCCGCCTCACTCCACATCCCCCCATGTGTCCCTGTGCCTGTGAGCAGTGCGGAGGGCGCGGGTGCGTGTGAGCCGTGTCCTGAGAACACCATTTCCAAGTGAGTCACACAGGGTCAACGGACTGGATTCTTCAATCCAACCACGTCAGCACATGAGATGTCCATACCGTGGGCAACCTTTTGGTCCCTACCTCCACGTGGCCATGTGCAAGGCTTTATGCTCACACACCTTTCATACACACACATTTCTGCATTTGGAAATATATGTACATATGCATGTGCGTGTGCGTGTGCATGTGCGGGTGTGCATGTGCGTGTGCATATGCGTGTGCATGTGCGTGTGTGTGTGCATGTGCATGTGTGTGTGAATGTGCGTGTGCATGTGCGTGTGCATGTGCATGTGTGCACGCAACCATGGCAGGGAGGGCGCGTCAGAGTGCACGGCATGTGGGAGCAGCGCCTATGCGCGCATCGTCCCGCGCACCGACTGCAAGCCCCGCCTGCGTGAGCCTGCCAGCCCCGCCCCTCGTGACACTCCACACCACCATTGCCACATGCATGCATACCGTTCCCACCTCACTCCCACCTCACTCCCACCTCTCTCTCATGACGCACTCTCATCTCGTACCTCTCCCTCGTGCGACCACTGTTGTCTTCCCCCCCTCCCATCGCGGTTCAGCATGCAGTGTGAGCGATTCCACCATCACCTACACGCCATGCCAGCTCGCCTCCAAGAAGCGCATCATGGTGAGCCCATGCCATGCCATGCCATGCCATGCCATGCCATGCCATGCCATGCCATGGCTCTCTCTCTCTCTTTCATTCCCTTGCCCTCCTGCAATCACTGCCGCCATCATCGTCCATGTCGTCCCCACTTGCATATCTCCTCACTGTGATCCCTGCCTCTCTCCTTCATTTGTGTGTGCATGGGTGCGTTGGTGCATGCGTGCAGAAGTGGCAGTGGATCCAGCCTCAGATCTGTGACCCCTCCAACATCACTCTACCCATGGACATGCCCCTTGACTGCGGTGAGCTGCCATGCCATGCCATACCATGCCAAACCACGAGATGCAGCGCCATGCCATGCCACGAAATGCCATTCCTTCCAACCCACCTCCCAGCCAAGCATTCTTTCAACCCCATCTCATCCTTCCCACACCTCCCTACCTCCCCACCCTCCATGTCTCATCGCACCCCATCAGAGCCGTGCCCGGATGGCCAGCAGGCAGAGCCCGACCCGCAGTCAGGGGAGATCCGCTGCACCCTCTGCCCTCCCGTGAGCCTCCTTTTCCCTCCTGCACCACTCCTGCCTCTTCCCTATTTGCCCATCGCTGCTCGCCCGACCATCGAACCTTCCCTGAGGCACCCTCACCGAACCCAACCACACCTCCCTCCCCGCCCACTCCCCACACCCCTCATCACCGCAGGGTACGGCGCGGCAGGCGAGCTACGAGGGGGGGGCGGGCAGCGCTGGCAGCATGTTAGAGGGGCGGTGTGAGGCGTGCAGCGAGGGGCAGGTGGCGATGAAGACCCTGTCGCTGAGGCACTTCACCATGCAGCCCAACGGCGCCCTGCCCCCCAACTTCACCACCGGCTGCCATGGCGACTGCGGCACCTTCGGCTGGAGGGCCTTTCAGGACCACCTCGACTCGGGCAGCGGCCATGGCCCCACCGCCTCTGTGAGAAATGGATGGATCGGCTTGCTGCATGCGCTACACCACGAGACTGTTATGTGAACACTAGTCACTGCCACGTGGCACCAAGACTGTGCTCACTTGTTTCACGACCACCTTGACTCGGGCAGCGGCCACGGGCCCACCGCCACCGCGAGGAAAGGCGGACGGGCTCTCTGGAATGCGGGCTATACGGTTGCTGTGTGAACACTAGGTGATGCCAAGGAGTGTCATACGTGGTGCTGACTCGTTTCATCACCATCTTGACTGCTGCAGTGGCCACGGGTGTTGCGTCAGTGGTACCTTCTTCCCAACATGCCCTGCGTCTTGTCTCCCTCCCCTCTCTACCCCTCTACTACTTCTGCCGCCCCTGGCGTCCCGTGCGGCATCAGATATGGCTGGCGCTGGAGGTGCACATGGCAGTGCGCGGGTACATGACATTCAACTACTCCGTTGACATCCTCCCTGGCGACCCGGGGCGGGCTTTCTTCTTCTTTATCGACCATGACCTCATGGACTATGTGGAGGTGACGTCATGGACTATGTGGAGGTGACGTCATGGACTATGTGGAGGTGACGTCATGGGCTATGTGGAGGTGACGTCATGGGCTATGTGGAGGTGACGTCATGGACTATGTGGAGGTGACGTCATGGGCTATGTGGAGGTGACGTCATGGGCTATGTGGAGGTGACGTCATGGGCTATGTGGAGGTGACGTCATGGGCTATGTGGAGGTGACGTCATGGGCTATGTGGAGGTGACGTCATGGGCTATGTGGAGGTGACGTCATGGACTATGTGGAGGTGACGTCATGGACTATGTGGAGGTGACATCATTTGCTATGTGGATGTGACGTTATGGAATATGTGGAGGTGACCCCGTGTGAAGTGGTCTATTCATGTGTAGATAATCAGGTGATGTGCTTAGAGGTGTGAAGGTGCATGCATTGCACACTATGCCCTGCATGCATTGCACACTATGCCATGCATGCATTGCACACTATGCCATGCATGCATTGCACACTATGCCATGCATGCATTGCACACTATGCCATGCATGCATTGCACACTATGCCATGCATGCATTGCACACTATGCCATGCATGCATTGCACACTATGCCATGCATGCATTGCACACTATGCCATGCATGCATTGCACACTATGCCATGCATGCATTGCACACTATGCCATGCATGCATTGCACACTATGCCATGCATGCATTGCTGTACGGTGGTGGGAGCAAGCAAGGCGTGCCCATGGTCCCTTTCTTGTCCAGCCATTGCTCTGGCCGCACCACGATGACCCGCTCATACTCTTCCCTCCTCCCCACTGCCCCTTCCCTCTGCCAGCAACAACGTGTGGAGTGGGAGGAGGGCGGGGAGGAGAGTGGGCACCCGGGGTCAGGGGAGGAGGAGACGCGCATGAGTGGCATATGGGAGCTGGATGTGGGGCGCCACTCGCTCATGTGGGTGTGGCAGAAGCTGGATGACACCGGCGCTGCTACCAGGACCACCCGCGACTCTGCTGTCATCTATGACATCCATGTGCGTGTGACATCCATGTGCGTGTGACATCCATGTGCGTGTGACATCCATGTGCGTGTGACATCCATGTGCGTGGCTGGGCATGTGGTATTCATGTGTGTGTGTGGTTGTGGCACGGAAAGAGGTTACAATGTGTGTAAGCGCAGCGGTTGGCCTGTGCAGGCACATGAATGAATGCTGCCAGTATGCTATGGTGACATGGCACTACCAATGGTTGCACGTCATGTGCCTATGATATGATTGCATGCACTCATGGCCCCCTCTCTCTCTGCCTTCCCGCTTGCATGCAATGCCGCCGTGTAGATAGAGGGAGTGGCGGAGGGTGGTGCAGCGCGGTGTGAGGAGGTACCGCAGGGGACAACGCTAGCAGAGGGGGGCGACTCATACGTGCCGTGTCCCCCCGGCACCTCCAGTGAGGGCGGTGCGTCCTCCTGCCTGCCCTGCCCGCCCAACACCTTCAACAACCAGCCCCAGGTGTGCCCCCGCTGCAACACGGCACCCCGTGCATGCCATGCCATGCCATGCCATGCCATGCCATGCCCCGCCATGCCGCCCAGTCCATACCACGCCAGTCCATGCACCATGCTCCAGCCATGCCCCTGCAAGCATCCCATTTCCGCCAACCCCCATGCAGCCATGCAGCAATGCTGCCATGCCTCCATCGCTCCACTCGCCCGCCTGTGGCTATCCTCGTGTGCCCCTTGCCTCTCACTGCTGCAAGGGAGCGCAGTGGGTGTGCATGCTGTGTGCATCTGAGTCAGCACGACAGCAACCTCTGCTGTGTTAGACCACGCCACCTGACTCTGCCCTCACATGCACCCTGCTACGTGTGTGGTGTGCTAGGGGGCGCAGTGGGCGTGCAATCCGTGTGGAGCGGGCACGTCAGCCCTGGCGGGCAGCACCGAGTGCTTCATCGGAGACGCCACCCGCCCTGCCTCCTTCTGCACCTTCGAGCTCCCCACCGATCAGCTGCCTCGCATCCCCCACCTCAGCGAAAAAGCGGCGGATGAACAGGCAGGGCAGGAGGGGGAAGGGGTGGTAGAGGGGGAGGAGGAGGGGAAGGGGAAGAGGGGGATGGAAGGGGAAGCAGGGGAAGGGGGAGCATTGCCCCCGGGGGGGACGGTGGGTGCTGTGAGAGGCAATGAGACGGCGGCCGCAGTGGTGTTTGACCTCTCCCCCCTGTCCCGCATGCACCCCGGCCGCATGTTTGGCCCTGTGCTCGATGCCGCTGCTGCTGCTGACCCTGATGGTGATGCTGCTGGGGGGGAAGAAGTTGCAGAGGGAGGGGCGGCAGGGGGCGGTGGGCAGGGAGGGAGGGCGAGCAAGGGGGGAGGGGGCGAGGCAGCGGAGTATTTTGTGAGTGTGTGCGATCGGGACAGCGGCAACGACACGTGCTACGACTACTCGGGGCGGTCCCTCAACACATATGCATGCAAGGTATAAGGGTACGCCACCCAACATGCTGCTCTCATGTGTTAGTGCTGCTCCTGACTCTCTGCCTCACTGCATCACTTCACCTCCTCCCCTACTCTCCATCCTGCTCTCCATCCTCCCCATCTCCCCCACTCTCTCCTCCCCTCCCTCCAACACCCCCGCCGCTCATCCAATCACCCCACCCCCGTTCGCCCCATGCCGAATCCCCACCGCACCCCACCCCATGCAGGTGGATCCACGGGAGGCCACAAGCGGAGCACGGCCGGGGCATAATCTAGGCAGTGCAGTGGCTGTCTATCCGCTGGCAGCCGTGCATGCAGGGCTGTACCGGCGCGGGCTGGTGATGGCGTTCACAGGGGACGAGTGCCCGCAGACCAACATGCCTAGGGAGACCAACCTCACCTTCATATGCGACCCCGCTGCTGGTGTGTGGAGTGGGGGGGAGTGAGTGAGAGGGGTGGGGTTTGCGAGAGAATGTGCGCGCATGGTGCCGAGTAGACAAGCACTACAGCAATGTGTGTTCATTTCACAGACCACACCCCAGCTATCCGCCATTCATCATCCGCCACCATCCACCCTCCATTTTCCACCAACCATCCTTCCAACCCCCTCAGGCCATGGGCAGCCAGAGGCATGGACGAAGGAAGGGCAGATGGCAGCACTGAACCCGGTGCTGGGGTACCCGCAGTACAGCCAACGGGGGGGAGCGGTGCAGCGCATCGAGCACAGCGACTGCTCGTTCAGCCTCGTGTGGTACTCGCTGTTTGCGTGCCCGCTGTGCTCCCATGAGGACTATGAGCGCGTGGAGACGGCTGAGTGCATGGATGAGACAAGGGCCACCTTCAAGTGGAAATTGCCCCGGGTATGCATGCATGCATGAGGCTGTGGCTGTTGACTGCATGGCTTTTGACCGGGTCACTAACAATCTGCCACAGTGTTCTGCGCCCAGAGGTGTTCCTTTGTGCTGCATTTTCATCCTCCAGTTACCTCCAATGTGCTCGTCAATTCATCACGGTTTCTCCCCTCAACGCCCTTCCAACTCTTCTCTCCCTTTTTCATGCCGCACCTCCCATTCCTTCCCTCATGCCCCCAGGTGTGCCAGCTGAACCCGTTCAACCCGCTACCCCAAGACGAGCCGTGTGAGCCGTGCAAGCCAGACGACATCATCCGCTCGCAGGGCGACTGTGCTGACGCCAACGGCAACCACAACATCACCTACTCATGGCGCCAGCCGCACCACTGCAGCCCCACTCTCCCCGGCGCTGCCTCCCTGCCGGCACCGGAGCTGGTGGGGCCGTGTGAGCAGCGGTGGGTGTACGTGCCTTCGGAGGCGCTATCTCCCATGTGGATTGCACTGTTTGTGGGCCTGACCGTGCTCATTGTGGGATTTGGATATCTCTCGCTTGTCACGTGGCTCCGCAGCCGTCGATTGCGGCAGATGTATCAACGGCTGGTGGAGGCCGAGGTGCAGATGGAGGGGGATATGGGTGAATTGCATGCGGATGGGGATGAGGATGCGGAAGACATTCGGCTCACTAGTGACGACTCATAGGGAAATCAGCAATTGAGACATTTTTGTTTATTTATGAAGGACAAACTCTTTATCCACATGAGTGTAATTAATTGTTGCATTAAGAAAGTTTTCAGCGTAAGCCTGATTATGTAGTTGGGCGTAGAGATGCTGAACAACTACTATTAACTTTGTCCTCGTTACTATGCTACTATCATGAGACAAATTCCATGACAATCAACCTCAGCTCGCGCACTACGGCTTGTGTTGCTTCCATGCGAGAAAGTCCCGCTTCCTTTCGACCACCACAATCACCCACGCAGTTCTCCGTGCGGCCGCGTTTGGCGGGCCGGCAGGCAGGAAGGCAGGCATGGGGGTGGGCGACGCGTTGGTGATCCAGACAGCGCTCAGCGTAACACTCGCGTCGGCGGCGCGGCGAGCCGGATGGATCAGGTGAGGCCGGCGAGACCGCGCTCCGCAATGTCTGGGCAGCGCGCGCGGGAAGGGGATGGGTTCAACCGCAGGCGACGGGGAGTTGGGGCGGAGGACGAGCTGCGGGCAGCGCGGTGGCCTGCGCGTGCATGCTGCCCCGCCGTGCTGAGGCGGAGCTGCCATCGCGCCACCGCGTTCCCAGCGACGAGCCGTAGATGGTTGGGCACTGCCTGGGGGCTTGCCTCGGGCTGCTGGCAGGCCGCGCACTGTGCTCACCACCCTCGTCGCCTCTCATACCCTCCACACCGCTCCTTCTTCCCCTCCCCTTTCTCCTTCCAATCCCGTGTGGCGGGATGCGGCATGTGCTGGCAGCTACCACCCGGAGAGGATAGGCAACGAAAACGTGCGCAAGGCGGTGGACGTGGCGCTGTGGGTGGGCGACGGCATCACCGCTCTGGTGAGCGCAAAGCTGATGGGGGCGCTGGTGAGTGCACTGGGAGTACCCGTACCGTATGTGCATGCAGGTTTGCAGGCTGCGGTATTGGCCAGCCTCTCCTCTTCCTCTTCCACATCACCACACCAAGCATGCAACTCCCCTCTGTCAACCTCTTTCACTCGTGCCCTCTCTGCCACCATTTTTCCCCCCACACCACCACCACCACGATGACCCTTGGCAGGGCTGTGCGGTGATCGATGCAGTGAAGAAGATGGCTGGGCGCGGAGGAAACAGGCTGGGACGCCGGTGACGGGGACGCAGATAGGGAAAGGGATAGGATGGCATGAGGATGGCACGGGATGGTGCTGAGTGCATGAGGCCAGTAGGCATCAGCTCACTAGGGGCTGTTGTTAGGACATGTTCAAGATAAGAGTGAGAACATGCATCAGGGGACGGCCTTCTGTCTAGTCTAATGCCTAACCTTTTATACATTTACAGTAATAAAAAGCACGGCAGCCTGAAAAGCGACAGCTAAACGTTCTCTGATCTGGCAGCAATGACCAGCTCTCCTCCACTGTGTTCGTGGTGCCTCTTGTCAAGTGATACCTTCTGTAGGCCGCACACATCCCTCACTGCCTCCTCACTGCACACTCCCTCACTCTCTCTTCCACTGCACGCACAGCCATTTGTCAAACAGCCCCCCTCCACCCTCTCCACTGCCCCCCTCTCCCTCACTACCTTCCTTCAAGCGTTCTTTCGCCTCCCCTTCTCCGCACATCTCCACTTCCCCTCCACCCTCAACCAAATTCTTCTCCTGCCCTCCGTCCCCCTTCTCTCCCTGTCCCCCTGCGCGGTGCGCCTTGGGGAAGTGCCAGGCGCCGTCGCTTGACTCCTGGGGGGAATAGCAGCGCGCATATGGGTGGCACAGGGCACGGGAGAGGCAGATGAGGGGAATGCACGGATGGGAGGACGGTGCGGTTGCGAGGTATGGGATGGTTGGGAATGGTTAAGGTGGTTGAGGGGTGGGATGGGATGGGCGGAATGGGAGGTACGGGATGATGGGGGAGATACAGAGGGCAACCCATTGAGCGGTGCGGCCCGTGGCATGGCGACGGAACTATGAGCATTTAAGGACAGAAGGCCAAAAGGGAAGTAGTAGTGGCAAGGGAAGGGGATCGAGAGGGGGTGTGACCTCGAGTGAGGTGGAGGAGGGAGGAGTGGGTGTGACGGTCTGACCTGGATGACGAAGGAGAAGTTGGGTGGCATGCGCAGCACTGGGCCTCGCGGTGTCATGGTGAACCGCACCTGCCATGCCATGCCATGCCATGCATGCGTTACACACCACGCCACAATGAAAGCCCATGAGCATCCAAGTGGAGTGAAAACACATGAATGTCACATATGCTAGGAGCCGAACACACAACAGTCACCATGGTGGTGTCCCCATGGCAGCCCACCACCTGGTCTCGCTACTCAACCACCTCCCTCTTTCACCTCCCATCCACCCGCCACCCACCCCCCCATCCAGCCGTGTCCCCTCACCTGGTGGCGCTCCTTCCAGCGCGAGAAGTAGTCAGCGCTGAGCGTCTGGAAGATGTGGTCGCGCATCTCATCGTTGCTCACCAGCAGACACCGCATCGATATCGCCGCGTACAGCCAGTACCTGCCACGCGGACAGAGGAGGAAGGGGGGAAAGGGAAGGGAGGCGGGTGGCATGGGGCATGTGGCGTGGATGAGGCTGGCTCAGGGTGAGGCAGAGGTGGAGCTGCCGCCATGACGTGAGAGCAGTGGGAGCAAACAGGAACAACAAGGGCAACAGGCACATGGATTTGCACTGCAGATCAGCAGAGCAGCGTACCAGTCATCATTGGCGCCAGTGGGGGTGGTGAAGAGGCAGTGCTGCTGCTCGTACTGCGCCAGGCACTGCTGTGCAAACGGCTCTGCTGCCGGCCGGCCCTTCACCCGCTTGTGATGCACCACCAGCAGCGGCAGCCTCGGGGCCGCCGACGCCGAACCTGCCTCCGAACCTCCACCCGAGCCTGCAGGCCCCAGGGCGGCGACAGCCTTGGCGATGGAGTGGAGCTGCCAGAAGTTAAAGCCCCCCTGGGCGAAGTTCTGGTTGTACAGCCCCACGTTGGCCGCGTCCACCACGGCAGGGAACGGCCCGTGCCGCGCCAGCCACGCCTTGAACGCCGCCAGCTCGCGCGCCTTGCCCCTCGCCTCCACCAGTGCGTCCACGGCGCGTGCAAAGCGCTCCGTCTCGGCGTCGTCCAGATCGATGGTGGCGAGACGGGCGCTGCAGCCAGAGCACGTGCCCCCCTCGTCCACCCGCACGTCCTGCACCTGCCACGAACCCCCCTGCGTTTCCCCTGCGCCAGCCCCTGCGGCGTCCCCCCTGTGCATGGCCCACCCCAGTCCGTGCCATCCCCCCCCGTTCACTGCCATTGCCCGCTCCGCCTCCTCCTGTGTCCACCCCTTCCGCCCTTCCTCTGCCCCTCCCCCCTGCGCCTCCCTCTCCCCCTCGCTCTCCGCCTCCTTGCTACCCGCCTCCCCTGCCCCCTCCGCCCTCTTCCCCCCCTCGCCCTCCGCGCCCCCCTGCCTAGCACGTTCAGACTCAAACCACGCCCTCAGCGTCCCAATCACGTCCTCGGGCAGCCCGCGCGCAACTTTCCGCATGCGGTGAATGTTTTTGTACACGCTGCCCGGGCTGCCCGCGCGCACGCTCACGTCCAGCAGGGCGGCGACCTGTTCGGGCAGCGCGGCCAGCCCGCGGGCAGCCATGTGTTGAAAAACCTCCTCCGCGCCGCGCAGGTCCCCTTGGCGGCAGAAGGCGAGCAGCGCGGGGTCGTACGAGCGGTGGCGCGGGGGGACGCCCTGCTCCGCCATGTCGCGCACCACGCAGAACGCCATGGGCGCGTCGCCGCGCGCGGAGGCCAGGCGCGCGAGCGCGGTGAAGGTGGCCTCGTTAAGCGGAACGCCTCTCCGCTGCATGTCCGCCCACACGTCCATTCCGCGCGCCCCCGCCACCGCCTTCGCCTCCTCCTTGCTCCACTTCTCCCCCCCTTCCTCTCCCCCTCCTGCCGCGCTGCTGTCTCCACCACCTGCCCCGGCACCATTCTCCCCCTCCTTCTCCTTTCCGCCCTCCTTCCCCTTCCCCCCCCGCGGGACGGACCCCACCTGCCCCGAGGAGGCGACGAGCGCGCAGAGGTAGAGCGCGATGTTGAACTCGTACGTCTTGAACGCGGGCCCCGTGCCCGCCACGTGCGCGTCGAACAGCGCCAGCGCCGTGCGCAGGTCGCCGTGCTTGCTGCACTGGTTCAACAGCCGCTTCGCCTCCTCCTCTGCCGTGTACCCGCGCTTGCGCTTCGGCATTTCGCCCTTGCCGCTGCCCTCGCCGCCGCCGCCGCCGCTTCCCTTGCTGCTGCCGCCGCTGCTGCCGCCGCTGCGATCCTTGGAGGTAGGGAGATTACTCCGCACTGCTGCCGCACTGGCAGCGCCGGTGGTGGCCTGCTGTCGGCTGCTGTACCCGCGCTCGCTGCTGCTTCGCTGCCCGCTACCGCGGCTTACCTCACTATTGCCGGCCTCCCTACCTCTGCCGCCGCCCACCCCCTTTCCGCTCCCCGCGCCCGCCTCCCTGCCTCTACCGCCAACCGCAATGCCGCCTGCCCCTGCTGCTGCGCTCGATGGTTCCGCCGTCAAATCGTCCGCCCGAGATCCTACCAGCCCCGCGCGCGTCCGCCAAGCCCCTCTCTCTCTCCCCCTATCCTGAACTGCGCGCCCCTCCCCCCGATCTCCCTCCCTCCGCTGCCCCTTTGCCCCCGAAGCACCGCTGCTCCCCCTGGTAGTGCTCAGGTACGCGGAGCCTGACAGGGGGCGCGCGTGGCGATGGGCGCACGCGAACGACGGGCGGCGGGGGGAAGTGGTGCGGGGGAGAAGAATCGCGCGGAGAGCGGGGAGGAGGCGGACGAGGGAATGCGGCGAATGGCACGGCGAAGCGACGCGCGCAAGGCGGAGGGCGGGTCGGGAGCAGCGGGCGAGTGAGGCCATGTAATGGGGGGGGAGATCAGCGCGCTAGGGAATGCGCCAGCGTCTGGATGACTTGGGCTGGGAGGTTTTGGGGAGAGGACATGGACGGGTTGGGGGGTTAGCGAAAGCACGAGATGATGTCGCACGAGCCCAAGTGTTACGTAGGAGAACGTGATTGCGAATGTTGCATTCCACATACGAAACAATTCCTTTTTGCAGATTGTGTTTTACTTGCATAGCAGGAGGTGGCGAATGCGCAACGTAGTTGGCAGGCGAATGCGCAACGTAGTTGGCAGGCGAATGCGCAACGTAGTTGGCAGACTAGACAATCGTCTCTTCGCCGTCACTCGACTAGTCGGTTCTTTTGCGTCCTCCGCGCTCCGCATGCCTCCCTCTCAGCCCCCCCCCGTGTCGACTGGCGGGCGCCCTCCCCCACCACGGAGGGCGGGCGCGCATGGGGGGAACGGCGGAGCGACGAAGAAGCGCGGGAGGGAGAACGAGACGGGGACGGGGAAGGAGGCGGGAGGCGGGGATGCGGCGCGAATTTACGCGGAAGTGAACAGTGGCGCGCAGCAGGACGTCATGCGCGCAGTGTGCCCCGCCGATATCGCGGTGAGATGACGTCAGTGGCGTGTGAGTCGACTCGACACATGCCCTCGCCTCACCCTCGCCGCGCCTCTTCGACTCAACGCTCATGCGCCGCTCCTCTCTCCGCTCCGCTTCCTCCCTCTGCTCCTCGACTTTCTCTGACCATCCCTGCTACCCCCTCACTCACGCACGCTGCCCCTCCGCGTCGCGCATGCCAGGTGGCACCCGCGCGAGGCAGCGGCGGCGGCGCATCGAGCGATCCGCTGGCGGGCGTGGAGGCGCGCATCGCGGCGCTTCTCGCGTCGGGCGGGCGAAGAGCGGGCGGCGGAAGCAGCAGCTACAGTGTTCCGCGCATGGAGGTGCTGCTGGAGGTGCCGGGGGGGAAGAAGCGCGCGGGGAAGGACGTGGTGAGGCGCGGGGGGAGTGTGGCGGAGGCAGGCGGGCGGGAAGCGGGGAAGCGGAGCAGGCAGCGGAGCAGAGCGGGGGGAGTGGAGCGGCTGGTGTGGGAGCTCAAGGCGCGGCCTCACCTGTGCAGGTGGGGGGGAGAAGGTGGAGACAGCAGGGTCGGGAGGGTGGAGGAAGGGATGGAGAAGGGCGGCGTTGCCATGTCCAGTGCCGAGTGTCCGAGCACCATTCATGTCCCTGCGCTTTCCCCTTCCCTTCCCCAGTTCGCCCACACCCACCCCTTCTTCTCCCTTCCCCCTTGTCCTTCAGTTTCACCCGCATGGCACCCCTGGCGGCAGCATGGAGCGACTATGCTGCTGCGCTCTGCCGCTCTGCTGCTGCGCACCCACCAGCGCCCGCCACACCTGCTGCCTCCGCGTCTGAGTGAGTGCGTCTGTGGGCAGCCCTCCCAGTGCAGTCATCGCCCACCTCGCTCTCTCCCTCACTTACTCCCTCACTCCCTCCTTTCCTCCCTATCCCTCTCTCCCTTCCTCACTCCGTTGCGCCTGCCTGCTCCCTTGTCGCCTGCTTCTCTCACCGCCCTGCACCACACTCCCACCCATCAAAACACCCAATTGGCGTCCACTTGCATGCACTGACTGCTGTGTCCCTCTCCCCCGCATCCCTAGGATCTTCTTCTCTTCACCCCTCTGTTCAATCCCCCCATGTCCTCCCATTCAATCCCCCCCATATCCGCGCTGTCCCAGGCGCATGGGTGCATGGGTGGCAGCGATGGACCTCCATGGCGCCATGCTCACAGGTGAGGGAATGGGGTGGGGCGGGTTTTTAAAGTGAAGGAGGGGCAGTCAGTGGAAAGGTCGCTTTTGCTGCACAGGGGTGGGCTGCAGCAAACGCATGGCGCAGAAATGACCGCCCACTTTTCCATTCACACCTGCATGCCAGTGCTGCCAGGAGCGCGGCGCCCATAGTTGCATCTCCCTTTCTCCTCTCACTTGCATCCCTCCCCTCTGCTCGCCCTCCCAGTGACACGTGCAGCCTCCTCGGGCCATGTGGGGGTGGGCGGCATGGTGCTGGCGGAGTCCACGTCAGCATTCCACCTCATTACACGGGATGACCGCCTCAAAGGTACATGCGCTCCACATGGTGCCATGGCGTGCCGTGCGATGCTGTGCCGTGTCATGTCATGGAAATTGATACCATGGCAACTCATTCCATACCATCCATGCTTCTCCGTCAGTCTCCTTAAATTGCTCCTCATAAGACCCCAACTCCTCTAATTTCTGCCCCTATGCCCCCTTCCTTTCCACCCCTCAGTCATCCCAAAGCAGGGCTCTGAGTTTCGTCTGCACCTGCCGCCTCTGCTACTGCAGTCAGCGCCGCCAAAGCAAGCAGTGGGGGCATCCCCACCACAAGTACCACAGCGCGTGGTCACTTTGCAGGGAGACCTCATGCGCACGCGCCCTCGCATGCGCTATGGGGACGCTCTGTGATGCCTCCTACAAGGCTGTGCCTGCCTTCAGCAGCCGGCACACACACCCACAATGCTCTCTGAAACAATAAGCCCTTGGGCAGATGGTTATGCTCTCAGCCCTTGGGCAGATGGTTATGCTCACAGCCCTTGGGCAGATGGTTATGCTCACAGCCCTTGGGCAGATGGTTATGCTCACAGCCCTTGGGCAGATGGTTATGCTCACAGCCCTTGGGCAGATGGTTATGCTCACAGCCCTTGGGCAGATGGTTATGCTCACAGCCCTTGGGCAGATGGTTATGCTCACAGCCCTTGGGCAGATGGTTATGCTCACAGCCCTTGGGCAGATGGTGGGCTCACAGCCCTTGCATGCAGCACAGGGAAGCTCGTTGCTGGCACGAGTGGAATTTGCGTTACTGTTCAGCCAGCATGTCTCCTCAAGATGATGCTCAGGCGGTACGGATTCTTCAATTACGGTAGCTCTGGCCTATGAGCCTTTGGCAATTCTACACCGTGCCCAGATGGTTGTGTGCAAAGCGATGTCTTCATATTAGCTTTGAACTTGTTAGGCGATGTATGTGTTTTGATTATTAGTTTGAAATGTAGCCACTCTTTGACGAGTAATCAACGTTATGTCTCCAGACTTTCCACCCACCAACCAACGTGCGTTTCGCACCAATGGAAGGTGCAGTGGTTGCACCATGCGCGAGTGGCTGGTGGCAGTGGCTGTGATCAACACTCGTTAGTCACGAGGAGCCTCTTGAATTGGCACAATAGGCTCCAAGGCTAGCTTGCTCGCTCCAAGGCAGAGCCCCGTTCTGTATTGCCAGATCCGGAATTGAGTGCCGCACCACCCGCTCACCACTCACTTCTCACCATTCACGCACTCTCGGCTTGTCCGACGCGCGCGCACACGGCCATTGGCGCAAACACATCGCCGTCCTCTCATATCCTCCCGCTGTCGCGCACGCCGCTCGCAATGCCTCGACCGGCGTGCCCGCGCCGTATTGGCGCATAGCGCAGGGAACAGTCAAACACCATAATTCCCGAGCAGAGCGCGCCGTTCCTCGAACAGAGCGCGCCGGGGGGCAGGTTAGGCCGCGAAAAAGTGGGGATCGTGTGAAGATCGGTTCTAGGCGGTGGAGGGTGGAGGAGAGGAGTAGAGAGAACTGGAAGGGAAGAAACATAAAATCAAAGGTAGAGTGAGGGAGAGAAAGGGAGAGAGAAAAAGGGAGGAGGAATTGCGGCGGCAAAGGCAGTGGAAGGGGGAGGCGGAGGCGGAGGCGGAGGAGCGAGGCGGGAGGCAGCGAGTCGAAGGCGATCGGTTGATTCCGGTGCTGGTGGTGGTGTGAAGCGGTCGCAATGAACTACAAGGGGCTCCTCGTCGCCGTCTTCTATGGTGTGTCAAGCCGCGTAGAGCCGGCCAGCAGCAGTCTCAAAGAGGCTGCGCTCCGCTCTGCCATGCCCTGCAACCTTGGTGCCTTCCCCCCTCTGTGCGCGCCCACTCCTTGCCCCTCGATCCCCCCCACCCTCCCCTCTCTCTTCCTTAGTTCACCCCTCCAACTCCCCTCACTCACCCCTCTCACTCCCCTCACTCACCTCTCTCTATCCCCTCAATCCCCCCTCCCTCCCCCCCCCGCTAGGCGGCATGTCGGTGGCGGCGGTGTTTGTGAACAAGGCGATATTCCGCGTGTACCGCTTCACCTTCCCCTACACGCTCGTCTTCTTCCAGACGCTCTTCACGCTCACGCTCCTCGCCGCCATGCGCCTCTCCCGCGCCATTCGCCTCGCCCCCTTCCGCCTCTCCGTCCTGCGCCGGGTACGCCCCTCCCTTGCCCCTTGCCCACAGGCGGCTCACGGGCATGGGGCGGGTGCTCGGGGTTCTGGGCAACAGAGGGAGCAGAGGGGAGCAGAGGGGAGGGGGGAGTGGAGCGAAGGGCGGGGTTGAGGAAAGGGGGGTTGAGAGGGGAAAGGGAGTGGATGAAATGGGGAGTCGAGGGAAAGAAGGAGTGGAAGGAGATGAGAGTGCAGGGAAAAAGGGAGTGGAGGGGATTTGAGTGTGGTCTGCTGCACCACTAGCGGAAGTGAGGCTACTCTCCATGTCACTCTGCCACCGGCCCACGTCACACGACCCACCCCTCACCTCACCCCTCACACCATACCCTCCTCCTCCCCCATCCCTGCAGGTGGCGCTGCTGTCGTTCGCCTTTCTACTGAAGCTGCTCCTGGACATGGCAGCCCTGTCCCGGGTGAACATCCCGATGTACGGGGTGCTCAAGTCCGCCACCACGCCCTTCGTGCTGCTGCTCGACTACCTGCTGCGCGCCAAGCGCGCCTCGCTGCGCGTGCAGCTCTCCGTCTACATGACCGCGCTGGGGGGCGTCATAGCGGGCACGGGCGACCTCACCTTCGACCTGCCGGGGTACGTGCTGGCGCTGTCGTCCGCACTGGCAACAGCGGCGTACGTGGTGATAGTGGGGAAGCTGGGCGAGGAGTTGCAGCTGGACTCGTTCACGCTGCTGCTGTACAACAACTGCTGGTCGCTGCCCTTCTCCTTCCTGCTCCTCGCCCTCAACGGCGAGCTGCCCGCCGTGCAGCGAGTGCTGCAGTCACGAGACGCCATGTTCCTCACGTGCTTCGTGCTGTCGTGCGCGTCTGCGTTTGTCCTCAACCTCGCCACCTACCTCTGCACGCTCGTCAACGACAGCCTCACCACCAGCATCGTCGGTCAGTGCCCCGCCCCCTCGCCCGCCCTCCCTGCTCTGCGTGCCTACTCCGGACTCTTGCCACAATTGTTCCTGCCAACGATAGCCATGAGCATGCGCACGTCTTGCAGTGCTGCGTCTCACCTCACCCCATATCTCTCGCCCCACCCCCTGGCTGCATGCATGCAGGGCGCACCAAGTCCATCCTGCAGGGCCTGGGCGGCCTCTTTGCCTTCGGTGATGTGCTCGTGAGTGCCCTGCCCGCCCCATGCCTCTGCCTTCCTGCTCTGTGCCACCCCCAACCCCCAGTTCCCACGCCCCTGCATGCACCTACCTCATCTCATCTCATGCCCCACTTGCTGCATCGCTTCCACCCACCACTGCCTTCTGCCCTCCACACACTGCACTTCTCTCCCCCCTCCTCTCCCAACCCCCTTCCACCTCCCCCTCTCCCCCCTCCACCTCCCCCGCAACTCCCCCTCCACCCGCAGATGAGCGTGACGAACGTGGTGGGGCTGCTGGTGAACAGTGCGGGCATCGGGTGGTACGCGGTCGAGAAGTACCTCGAGGCGCGGCGCCGTTCGCACCACATGCTCTCCCCGGGGCATGCCCGCGATGGCAAGGCCACCATCACCCGCGACGGCTCCCAGGTGATCTGCCCTGCAGGGGGGAACGGGGGGAGGGGAGGGGTGCGGAGGGAGAAAGGGTATGGTGCAGGGAGGTGGGGTGTGGTTTGTAGGTTGGCTGTGGTGGTAGGGATGGTGGTGCATTGTCAGCGTGGGCAGGTTGCCTCACAGTCTCCTCTGTTCCAAACGCACTCACCCTCACCTCCCTCTGTATATTCCGTGTCCCCCCTCTCCCAACCCCTGTGTGCATCCACTATCACCATCCTCATCAGCTGTCATTGGTGTTCAACGAGGTGAAGACAGAAGATGCCGGCCAACCAGACCCGCGCAACGGCTCTGTGTGAGGGCTGCACTGCACTGCACTGCACCCACCCAACCAACCACCCACCCTGTCCTTGCCGCCACCTTCCTGCCAAACGTTCCACTGAACGTGATAATGAAGCCCCACCTTGCCTTGTGCATCGCCTATATATCTGCTGTTGGATCGGGCCTCGTTGAATTGCCTAAGGGCCCTCTTGTGCAGGCTAAATTGCAGGTCACTATTCATCCAACTTAGAATAATGAAAAAGAGAAATACATTCTAGCACCTGTCTCTGTCTACAATCCTATGGCAATGCAATGCTGTGGTGGGCCAAGCCACAAAGCCTTGTGTACAGAGCAGTTCCAGACATCCATACTCTGGCTCACGCCTTCCCACGCTTGCTCTTCTTCCTCGCCTCCGCACCACCGTCCACACCACCCGCCCTCTTGCCAGCACGGGGCAGTGCTGTGGAGTGGGGTGAGAGGTCGGAGAGGGCAAGGCACGTGAGGCGGGCATTGGTAAGCACCTGGGAGTGGCACCCAGGGGGGAGTGCGGTGGGAGCAGTGGGTGCAGTGGCAGGTGCATGGATGGAGGAGGAGAGGGCGCGCAGGTCCCACAGGCGAATGCACCCATCTGATGCTGCTGACACAACCACATGCTCACTGCACTCTGCTGTTGCCCCATCACCACTGTGCCCTCTGCTCTCCCTCTTCTTCCTTTTCCGCCCTGCCACCCCTTCCTCCTTGCCACGCTTACCACCATCGATGCCACCTCCTTCCTCTCCTTTCCCTCTGTCGCCCTCTTCCTCCTCACCTTCCCCATCCTCCCCACCCTCACCCCCTCCCCCCTCACTGCGCCAAGCGGTCAGACCTGCCTTGGCTGCTGCAGCCAGCTCGTTCCCCTCACCCTCACCCCCCCCTGCGCCCCCCTGTCGAGCTGCCAGCGCCCCCAGCACGCCGCGGATGCGAGCGCTGTGAGCGCCCGCCACACTCACGGCGGGGTGCAGCGGTGGCTGGCGCACATCCCACACCTTCACTGCCCTCTCCTCGCCACCCGTCACCACCGCGTGTGGCTGCAGGGAGCATAGCGACAGGGCAGTCACAACACACGGGACATGGAGTCAAGCACAGGACATTGGGTGGGTGATAAAATGGGAAATGAACACACCCATGCAGAGCGAGAGATGAGAAAAAGGTGATGAGACGAGCAGGGAATTACAGGGAACAAGGAGGGAGGGATGAGCAGCAAGCAATGCGATGCAGCCAGGGAGAGGCAGGGCGGGCGAGCAGGCTGACAGTGAGGAAGGAGAGGGCGAGGCAGGAGGCGGGGTGGGGCAGCGTGGCGGTGAGCGAGGCGTCAGCAGAGCAGTGCACGGCCACGGCACCGCCCCTCAGGGCCAGCGCGTAGCAGGCAGCGTCCCCGGGCGAGTAGGTGAGGGCGAGGGGCTGGGCGGGCAGGCGCGTGCGGAAGGAGCAGCGCGCCTGCAGCAGGTTCCACAGGCGCAGCTCCGCGTCCCTCGCCACTGACAGCGCCACCCGCCCCGATGGGTGCACTGCCCCCGTGCATATGCGGGGGGGAAAGGAGGGAAGGGGAGGAGACAGGGAGAGGCGAAGTAGGAAATGGGAGGAGGGGGAGCAAGAGGGAGCGCACATCACAACAACCACAGCAACCCAAAACGGACCACAGCAATGCACAGCAACCTATAGCAACCCACAGCCAGCCCCCAGCAACCCACAGCAGGCCCAGCAACTACCAGCACGCACCTGCGATGTCATTCACAGGCGCCTTGTGCCCTTTGAGGCTTGATAGATGCCGCCACGTGGCGACCTCCCATAGGCTGATGGTGCGGTCTTCACTGCCTGCGAGCAGGTGAGTGGGGCGACTCCCACTGCCGTGCAACTGCGGGGGGATGGGACGGGTGGCGGCACGGACGCATGACGGCATTCAGTGGGGAGGCTTGGAGGCAACGAGAGGGCAGCCATGAGTGGAGGGGCGCTGGCGCTAACACTCACAGCGAGGCACGAGACGGCGGCACTCACAGCGAGGCACGAGACGGCGGCACTCACAGCGAGGCACGAGACGGCGGCACTCACAGCGAGGCACGAGACGGCGGCACTCACAGCGAGGCACGAGACGGCGGCACTCACAGCGAGGCAGGAAACAGCGGCGGTGTGGTGCAGCAGCGCGCCCATGTCGGTGCGCGCGCGCAGGTCATACACGCGCACGCTGTCGTCCGCCCCCCCGCTCACCGCCACCCCCCCCGCCGCCGCCACGCACTTGATGGGCCCCGTGTGCCCCCCGTAGCAGAACTGCTGCCGCAACGCCGCCTCCCCGGCCCCCTCGCCTTGCCCCTCCTGCTTCCTCTCCTCCCCCATACCTTCTCCCCTCTCCCCTCCCTCCCCGCCGCGCGCTGCTGGTTGCGATGCGCCCAGCCTGACGGGGGGACGAGGAACGAGAGCGCAAGCGCGCGTGGGGAGGGACTAGCAGGGTTTTGGGGAAGGCGGATGGAGCGGGCAAACAACGGATTCAGGCCGCACATGTGGGGCGGAAACGAATATACACAGGTGGGTTGGGGCCGTTAGCTCGGGGGGCAGATAGAGAACCAGCCGCGCACGCGATTGCGTGGTTGGGGCGGAAGGCGGGGCGCGGCGTACGGGTGGGTGGGGAGGTGGAGGCGGAAGCCGAAGAGAAAGCGCTCGTACGACCCCGCGATGACCCGCAGCCCGCCGCTGCTGTCGCGATCCACATCACCTGCGCCATTCCGCATGGCTCAGGTGGACGGCCTGACAGTGAGGGCGGGGCGATTCCCGCTGTGAAGCAGTGTACAGGGCGACACGGGCTGTCGACGTAACGGATGGTGTCGAACAAGGAAACACGAAGGACGACTCCAGACGATTCCATCAGGTAACTCTTTTTGTTTATGTTTTGACTCCTTATATATATGTATATGTGTATATATGTATATATGTATATATGTATATATGTATGTATATGTGTACATATGTATGTATGTATATGTATATATGTATATATACATATCATGCTCCAAGCTTGGTTTTGATGTAGACTGTGTTGGGAACAAACAATCTTAAGCGCCTCTGTCGTGTCGAAACACCAAGGTACAAGCGAAGCAGAGCATATCGAGGCACCAGCGAGTCAACCCTCGGAGGTTGAAGTAACCGCTGGAGGTTACGCGAAAGTCAAAGGTCAGCGACCTTTGACTTGACAAATGCAGCGCGACAGCAAGGACACACAACTGACTCGACATTGAGCAGTTGCCCGAGTCGCACTGTATCGAACCGCAACAGTAAAACAGTTTAATTATATCTCTTCGTATTCTTTGTACTCTTATATAAACCTTTGTACTTGCTTGTTTTAATCAACTTACTTTGCCCTCACATACCAGCGCAAGGTGGTTCAAGGACTTCATTTAAACGCTTCCGCTACTACATCACTCTACCCAGAGTTTAACCCTACCAAAGATCCTAAGGGGCACTCAGCCCAACATGGTATGAGAGCTGGTTAGGGTTAAAATTATTTCTCCTTAACACCTAATACACCAAGAGACATGTCTACCAGAAAGGAGAGGAGCTCCTCCAACGACTCTCCTGGTACTACTACTCCACCTCCTGCCTCTGGCCTACAGACAGAGGAAGGCACAACAACGAGACCGGCAGCTGGGTCTACTGAAACACCCGCAAACCAAGGCGCGGGCTTCGATCCAAGCATGATGGAGAAGTTCTTCTCCTTCATGTCCTTCTACGAGCAGCATCAGCAAGGAGCACCTGCGCAATCAAACAACAGCAACAACAACAACAACGTGACGCCCATGAGTCTCGATGGCTCATCCTACGCACGCGGGAATCAACAACAGCAACCTACCTTCGCTCCGTACGAGCCCCAGCGCGGCTCCGTCAGCTTCATGCCACAACCACAACCTGCACCGGGACAAGAGAGAACGCTGGACGCACTACAAGTTCAGTCGCAGTTCGCGCACGTTCTAAAACTGCAAACGACAAAACCCTTCGACGGGAAGGATTTCTTTACCTGGTCGTTCGAATTCGAGCTGATGATGGAAGGAGCGCAAATCCTTGGCTTCTTCGACGGGTCCCTGCCATACCCAACAAACGGCACACAGTATGAGAAGCAGCAGTACACCTATCAATCGATGATGGCGTACACGATACTACTGAGGAACATCACTCCAACTCAACAACAAAACATACGGTCTTACCGAGGCTACGGCAACTCCGCGGAGCTCGCGTACAATCACTTGAAGAGCCTGTATCAAGCAACAGACAGCGTAAACCAAAGTCGGTTAATGGCGCAGCTGACAACAATCGAAATGAAACCAGGCGAGAAGGGAATGGCGTATATCAGTCGCTGCCGCGAGCTGCGCGACAAGCTTCTTCGATGTGGAGGATCGATTTCAGAGGACGCCTTCGTCACGGTTGTCATCGGCGGTCTTGGTCCTCACTGGCGCTCCACTCGCGCCATACTACGAGCCCACGGGAAAATTTCTGAAGCAGCACTTTGCGCCGAAATCCACGCCGAGCAGCAAGACATGGACCTGCAAGAAGAACGACACAAGAGAAAGGTATCAGTGCCCGAATTCGCGTTTCACACTCAACGGCGCCACAACAACAACAACAATCGACCGAAAATCGTACCTCCGTTCTGCCACCTCTGCAAGACTTCAGGGCATCCTCGTACGCACTGCCCGAATCGACAACAGTCAACGTCGCCGCAACGCCAACTTCGCCCTTCAAGCAGTCAAGTCGCCTCAACGCAAGCAAATCCGACAACTTCAGTACAAGTCTCAACAACATCGACGGGACAACCTGCGAAAGGAACAAGAAACATCGTCAGCTGCATGGCAAGGCTGAGTGACTCCTGCGTAACTGAGTCACCACCATATTACTCACCAGAAGAACAACTCGACAACAGCACGCCTCGCCGCGAGTCACTTCAACCGAACCCAACGTACGCCGCCATCGCTCAAAGCGAGCCGTCCGGGAAGGATACATGGTTCTTGGACAGTTGCTGCGGACAACATATGTGCTCTTTAGGACGTTTCGTTCAACGCGAGCACCAACTTCAACGAGAAGTCGTCATCACTGTCGCCAATAATCAGAACCTGCGCACACGACGACAAGGAGTAGTGCAACTTCAGTCACGAGAGACGAATGTCATACTGCAAATGTCCAAAGTCCTAATAGCAGAAGGATTTGGCTACAACTTCAGTCAGTTGATGGCGAAAGGCATACATCTGGAAGCCGACAGTACCACCCAGGAGTTCAAGCTGTACCACGGGAAGGGCGGCCTCTACATCGGAAAGGCGGTCCTGAAGAACAATGTCTTCGTTCTCGATTTCGTCCCAGACCTGGGCACCGCAGACAGTGACGGGATCGTCACCTTCACATCTTGGACGCACCCGCCGGATCTCGACCCCGACTTCAGTCCGGAAGGCTTTTGGTATTCACATACCATTCCTGAAGCAGAACGAACACGTGCGTTAGTAACAATACAACATTCGGCAGCAGCAGAGACAACATCGGCAGCAACAGAGACAACATCGGCAGCAGCAGAGACAACATCGGCAGCAGCAGAGACAACATCGGCAGCAGCAGAGACAACATCGGCAGCAGCAGAGACAACATCGGCAGCAGCAGAGACATCATCGGCAGCAGCAGAGACATCATCGGCAGTAGCAGGAACAACAACAGTAGCAGCAACAACGACACCACTCCTCGTTGACGAAGCACCACCAACACCCGCACAGCAGCTGAATCCGGCTCAACGGGAAGTCCATAGAAGCGCAAACTTCACCGCCAGCTTCTACTCCAACTCCGACGCGTATCGACGCTCACCCGGACACCGCGCCTCCGAAGACATCTGGCACGCACGCATGGGACACCCAAGCAACACTGTGTTAAACAACACAATAAGAGCAGGAGTCATTGACAAGGACTCGTTACTACTACTCGACGGCAGAGAACTTCAACGGGCACGAGGAACATGTCTTACCTGCCCCGAAGCCGACTTACCACATCGGCCGTTCACTCCTCATCACAACCCGAGCACACCCGCGTACGCACCACTCGAAAAGGTGTATAGCGACATCCTGTACAATCGGGAACCAGGACAAGTAATATACAACTACACAATCACCTTCATCGACGCCGCCACCCGTTACTTCTGGCATCTAAACCTACCCAGCCGCGACATGGTCCCCGAAGCATTCGCTGCTTGGCTACCAGTAGCAGAAAGAGAGTCGGGCGTAAAGCTGAAAAGCTTCCAGTCTGACGGAGGAGGAGAATACACCTCTCAGCGATTCAAGCAGTACCTGGCGGAAAGGGGAATCAAGCAGCTCCTCTCTCTTCCCTACGCCCATCAGCAGCAAGGTGTAGCAGAAAGAATGAACAGGACTCTGCAGAACAGCATGCGCAAACTGTTGCGTGGCATGCGGCTACCCAACCACCAGTGGCCTGACGCGATGGACCACGCTGTCATGCTGCACAACTTGCTCTCATCTTCATCACTACCGAACAACGCATCACCGCATCTGCTGTGGACAGGAAAACAGGGCAGCACAAAAATGTTACGAGTGTTCGGATGCATGGTACAGTACCGACCCCCAGCAGCACGAGCGGGCCGATTTTCACAACGCGCACAGTGGGGACTACACCTCGGCATCGAAAAGAACTACAACGCGTGGAAAATCTTTGACGTCCACTCCAAGGAAACAGTAGCAGCACGCGACGTCATTTTCTACGAACGACTCACGCTCCAGACATACCTTGCCAACCTGCAAGAGGACCAAGTTCCCACAGGTGGTTTTCGTGGTGACCGAGCCTTCGCCTCGGCAGCAGACGAAGCTGACTGGGACGAGCAGAATGTGGCCAACGCATCAGAAGAAGCTGGACCCCTTCCGTTCTGCTCCGTCGACGTCCCCATGGACGAAGATAACCCTCGCGAAAGTGTCAACGCCGAAACCTTCTACTACTTCGCCGACAATGGTTACGTAAGACTTGCGACAGTCAACACCAACGAAGCAGAACGAGTAGGACCGAATTTCATACCTGATCCAGAAGCGGGAGATGAAGCAGCTTATCCCGAGGATGCAACTCTTCCCCGCTACTCACAGACTGGACTGCAGATTCTCGGACTCGTCACCGCAGTCCACGGCAACACTCTTCCTAAGGAGCCTGCGACGGTTCAGCAGGCTCTGGGGGGGGAACACAGGGAAAAATGGCGTGAAGCCATGGACAGAGAGTTAAAGGCGCTGGAGGAACGGAACACCTGGAAAGTTGTCCCCATCAGCGTGGCAAGGAACAAGACCATTCTCAGCGGGAAATGGGTCTTCCGCGTTAAAACAAAAGCAGACGGCACAATTGAGAAGTTCAAAGCACGCTGTGTTGTGCGTGGATTCGATCAGGAGCACGGACGGGACTTCACCGAGACATTCGCCCCGGTTAGCCGACATACCTCACTTCGAATCCTCCTCGCGATCGCCGCCATGAAGAAAAGGAAGCTACGGCAAATCGATGTCGCCAACGCGTTCCTCTACGCACCTGTCGACGTGGAAATCTTCGTCGAGCTCCCACACGGTACCAACGGGGAACCTAACCAAGTCTGTCAACTGCTGAAATCACTTTACGGGATCAAGCAAGCTCCGCGGCTATGGCAACAGTACCTACACGCTCGCCTCATTCGCATCGGATTCCGCCAACTACCTCACGACCAAGGAATGTACCGACTCACTAA